CTGAGCCACCTGGGAGCCGGCACCCAGCTGTGGGCTACCTTGGGGCCGGCACCCACCTGTGGGATACGTGGGAGCCGGCACCCAGCTGTGGGCCACGTGGGAGCCAGCACTCAGCGGTGGGCCACGTGGGAGCCAGCACCCAGCTGTGGGCCACGTGGGAGCCGGCACCCAGTTGTGGGCCACGTGGGAGCTGGCACCCAGCTATGGACAACCAGACTACCAGTTGTGGACCATCAGGGACCCAGTATGCAGCACTGGACAACCAGAACCTTCGCTAAACCCCATAAAGTTTATCTTTGAGGTTAACTGTGCAAAATATTTTTGGACACTTATGTACGTATGTAGAACAGTTCTGGTGTACCTAATATACCACACAGGAGAGAGGGAGACAGACTAGCACTAAGCTGCTCGAAAACTGGTAATGATAGGGATTCACTAAAAACCTATATAGAACAAGGGAAAATAACTCTCTAGAAGAGTGGGAATACCAGGAGCTGGCTAGGTGACTAATGGCTAAAATACTAATACATAGAGATAAATATAAATATTAAAAAAAATATATAAATATAAAAATATATATATGGTACTATGCCTTTAAATCTGGAATGGACAAAGTATCCCTATAAATGTGCAAAAATGTGAGTAAAAGTGCTATGAGTGGAGATCTCAAATAAACGGGATATCCCTTTAAATATGCAAGAATACAAAGAGAATGCTGCTATACCTTTAAATGTCCTTTAAGAGTGTGCAAACATGCAAAGCAGTGCTATATAAGGGGGGTAAAAAAAAAAATAATAAAATTAAAAAAAAAGGTATATATATATATATATAAATAAAATACAAAAATGCAAAAAGGGGAAAGATGAGAGACCAAATTCTCTGCTGGATGACCAAAAAATATGTATGAAACTGGTGTCTATATCCCAAACAACATGAGGGATAAATGATACCTGTTGCAAATAATATACTTAGTAAAAGATAGAAGTAAAAAATAAGCTATACAGTACAAGGAACTGTTAGCTTTAGGCAATAAAAATGAAAACAATATATCGCTGGAAAACTGAAGCATAAAACTGGATCACTTCATATAAGAAAAAAAAAAAAAATGCCAGTTTATTGAATATAATAAAATAACTTTGGAAAAAGTTAAATATAAAAATACAGGTCACACTAGATTCAGAAATGCATTACCAGACTGAAGCATTGAAAAATAACAGCAAGGACCTTCAGATTGTTAAGGATGGATATGGATTGTGATGATTCAATATACAGCTGCCGGTGAGGATGGCTAGTGTCTGTGAGCACGTCCCGAGCAGGAGCCTCACTTCAGGGGACGTGCAGGACAGATGCCTCCGGTGGCGGTACTTTCCAAACAGGTCCTGCGTGTGCAGATTAGTGGTGCTGCTGGTACATGCGTCTGATCCCGTGTGTTGCTGGAATGCCTGTCTTACGCGTTTCGTAGGGAATGGGCCCTACTTCATCAGAGACATAATAGTGTCTAGTGCTTCAGTTCTTCTTTATATACATTGCCTAATTATCAATCACATTTAGGTGTTAAAACCAATATATTCTATACTAATAAAAACAGTATTTGTACCTGCATAAAATGATACATACATATACATAAAATGCAAATCATTGCCACTAGGGTAAAAACAATATTTATAAAGTCTCTTAAAATGTAGACAGATACATAAGACCGGTAAATGTAAAAATACATAAAAGCAATATATGAATGTTCCAAATGGAAGGAACATATTTAATGAATCAATTAGAGATAATGAAATGCTGGACATAAATTGGTATATATACATGAAGATGGATAAAATCATAATAGTATATTGACTACATATGGATAACCAATACTAGATAGGTACCATATAGGTATAGTGTCAATCCATCCTTCTAGGAGAAAACAAGAGAACAAATAATAGTTTTTTTGCATTTTTGTATTTTATTTATATATATATATATATATATATATATATATATATATATATATATATATATATATATTTTTTTTTTTTTTTTTTTTTTTTTTTTACCCTTATATGCACTGCTTTGCATGTTTGCACACTCTTAAAGGACATTTAAAGGTATAGCAGCATTCTCTTTGTATTCTTGCACATTTAAAGGGATATCCCGTTTATTTGAGATCTCCACTCATAGCACTTTTACTCACATTTTTGCACATTTATAGGGATACTTTGTCCATTTCAGATTTAAAGGCATAGTACCATATATATATATTTTTATATTTATATATTTCTTTTTTTTTTTTTTTTATATTTATCTCTATGTATTAGTATTTTAGCCATTAGTCACCTAGCCAGCTCCTGGTATTCCCACTCTTCTAGAGAGTTCTTTTCCCTATGTCTTAACTGTGACTATAACTGACTCAAAGAATTGTCCAAACCGGTTATTTGTGACTAAATATTGCACTGTGGTTTCCAATTCCCTATAATTTAATGTTTTGCGAATAAGGTCATGATGTGAATTAATTTCACACACTGTTTCTCAACAAAATGAAATGAGAGTAAATGTCTCAATATTCGGTCTTTGGATATCTCCAATATTATGAACTGTACCTCCTGCTCGATTCAAAACTGCACAAATGAAAGTCTTAAATTTCCCATCCTTACATTAACCATTGATTCACACAGAGTTACTATTTTTATCATCAAGAAATGTTTAACACAATAACACACACACATTTTTAAGAAACTCCAAACAAAAATTGTTTCAGGCACTATGAACAAATCAAATGCCTTTCTATCTGCACCCGAACGAATCAAGCCGACCTGGATTTACCTGTGAATTCTTACTCAATGAATAAGACTTTACAGGTAAATCCCCAATGAATCGTTTTGTTCAATTGCAGATTTAAAAGCATTTGTTTCATTCGTAGAAGCTGGAACTTATTTGGGCACAAGTGTTCTGGCTACCATTCCATTGGGCATCGGCAACCTGCTCTAATTTATAAACTCTCTGCTCATACATAGGCTGCGTACAGACAATGCATTAGGGAGTTGTCTACATTTTGAGGAACTGAGGACATCACCTGGTGGAAGATGGATGAATGTCTTTTTTGATGGGACTTTGACAATATGTTTGTCCTCGGGTAGCAGCTACATGATGTTCCTTGCTTGGATACATTGCCCCTGGCATAGATTGCTAACCGAACAGCCATGTGCCAGATCATGACTACAAGGACCATTAGAAATGCAAAAGCTTTAATTGAATGGGGTGATAGAATCACACAAATTATCGCAGGATGAGGAGTTGGCATGATCTACTCTGGAATTTATCATTTAATATGCAACAAATGTCAATAGGCAGAAATGGGAAGAAGATCATATGTACTGATGTTTACAGGACAAAAAAAAGAATTGAGGGATGGGAAGTATTTAGTGACTATGACACATTGATGAAAAATACATGTTTACTTTTGTTTTGGCCAACTTTATTTCTGAGTTAAAATACAGATATTTTAATGTAAAGTGCAGCCTACAAAGGTATATACATTTGTTTTGGGCCATCATGAGTAGTGGTTTACTTGCCAGCAAGAGATAAATTTTAGAAAAAAATATTATTTACATTCAAATAATTTTAGGTGCTGGTCCCAGTTCAGTTCACTCAATAAAAAAAAATGAATTAAGCTGTGCAGATGCTTGCTTTAAATAAACATTCAAACTCTACAATATGACTAGATACAAGAAAATATATAGCTGTGATAACATGAAAAAAGCAAAACCTTAGTTACAGATGTAATGTTGATTCTCTTAGACCAACAAAAAGATACCTTCAAGGAGGAACTGGTGATGAGTCTGTGGTTTTCCAGCTCTGGTTGGACTACATTAACAACCATGTGTAAAGATAATTAGGGAAGCTGCAGACCAAAAAGTTCCAAAAAACCATAGATTCAATTTGGTGACCAAAGCACTTGAGCCTTTGCTCTAAATCCCATATACAGACGGCACCCAGATAATAACCTATAGGGTCAATGTTGGTGCCTATATTTCCATCTCCTCACATTAATCCAAATAGTTAAAGTCAGGCATGTAGTTACAAAGCCTGTAAATATTTATTGGCACCAATACGATGCTGCGTTTTGGTCCTTCTGGACATTTTTTCAAGTCTTATGCATGCCTGTTATTATATTTTTCAGACCTAAACCCCAACCAGCATTGGCTACTTTTATGGAAATATTTTGAATCCATTGTGATCTAATTTGTATTATAAAAAAAGCAGTAGAAATTCAAAAAGAGAGTTCTGTGTTCAGGTTCACAGGACTGTACAGTTTGGGGAGAAACTCTAAATCCTTGTGTCAAAATGTTTGATGCTTGTAGAACTTCAAAACATCATGAATCTTCTCAAGGCTGATGTCTGTTGGATAGAGCCTATTTTTTGGTCTTCTTTACTATAAGCTTTCCTCTTCTCTACTAATTCTCTTCGGATGACGCAATGGGCCGCATCTTCATTTCCAGAAAGGGAATGGAGAATTCATGACCCTTCCATGGTTCCCAGTTGACACCCTATACATTAAGAGAAAATGAAGCAAGAAAATAAATAAATATATATATATATATATATATATATATATATATATATATATATATTTACACAGTCAATGAAAACACTGACTCACTATAAACATAACAATTTCTATAGTACAACTAAAACACTCGAGACAATGTTCGGGGACCTAAGTAAAAAGGCTTCTTGCATGGTTGATAATATAATTATAAGCCTATTTTAGCATGCAGCCCAACACTAATTACATTTCTCCTTTAAGTGTCAACTAAAAGCACATGAAGGCAATTAAAGTAATAAAGGAGATAGAATAGAAGGTAATATGGTTGGAGAACAAAGATGTTATTTTAGATAAATACTAACTTAGAGCAGGTTTGTGCACGCAACTGCAAATATGTATATTTATATCTGTATATATAATTGAGACTATGTAGCTGTCATCTCCATATAAACAGATCCGGTTATCAAGAAAAGTCTATGCGTATGTATTGATTTAACAGAAGGAGCGCATCGGTTCAGCTTGCAATGGCTTTTAAAGTAACTAACTGAAGTATATTATGTTAATGGCTTTGGAGTGGAGCCAAAAATAGTATTGAAATTATGTAAATGCTTTAATTGCCATCAGTCTTCAATTGAGCAGCCGGAGATAAGCAAAGCAGCCACTCTCTCCCACTGTGTTCAGCCCCATCAGACGTCCATTACAAGACACCTACATCAACTGATCTATTGCTTTACTAAATGGCTCTAGCATTTCATTTTCAGAACTGTCGAACAATTTAAAAACCATTTTTAAATCTTGTGAGACTTGTGTGACTTAGGTGATAGATTAGTTTATAATTTTCAGGTAAGATAAGTAACAGGTAACATCTGGCAGCTCAGCTGCTGTGGAATGTGCATTCTGTAATGATCAGAAACCTATAGTGATGGCTGAGTATTGCCTATTCATCAATAAGTTATGTAATGATTAATGGTGTGGTGTCAGCTGACATGTTGGACAAACAAATAGACAGACAGGCCGACAGACAGATACAATAATAAGGCCACTGTAAATGTATTTGAGTCATACAATGAAGAAGAGACATTGAAAGGATAATTATGCCATCTTTCTTTCAAGCTACTCTGTATCTCTTCGGCAAAGTGACCGGTCAGGGCAACCGTGTGCAACCTGCGGACATGTTATTAGAGCAAGTAAGGAATGAGAGACAGGAAGTAAAAGATCACCAAACAATATTAGTGTTATTCAATAAAGCAGGAATTGTGTGAATTTGAGATCCAAAAATATGTAGAATTTTTTTTTTTAAATCTTCAAACCAATTTTTTATCTTTTAACCCAAGATTTATAGTCTATTCTTCCAATTTCTATTTTAAAATAACCCTATATGCATGACCAGCATGGGTCAAAGTCGTGGAGTGGCCACTTCATTAACCTTAATTAATAGCATTAAACTAAATGCAAATCAGCAGTACATTCATTAATCTTACTATGTATGCCGAATAGTGGAAATGATATTAAGCATTAGTTTTGGGAATTTTATCAAATTCCCCTCAGGTTTCTAAAGGAAGGGAAGGGAAGTGGATGAAATGTGTATCACAAATCCAACTGTCCCTTATCAATATATGTTCCTGAGTTTAGACAGTACTGAGCGTAAAGTGGGCCTTGGGCGTAAAGTGAACCTGTCATGACAGCTCCTCTTCAACTGAAATCTCTCCATAAGCATTGAATATATCTATTACCAAGGAGATACATTATATATTCAACTGAGATTTTGGAGAATAGACTGCTGCTTACCTTCAGTCCAACTCCACCATGTCCGGAGCTCTATAATTATGTAATACCCACCCCCAGTCACTTTGTCGTCCCTACTTCGGGCACTTCCCCAAGCAGGCAATTCAAGCCTCATGATACCAACACACTGGTTTCACTGATAGAACATCTCAAAATTCTGGCTAGGGACTAACTGTAGCAACCACAGCATATGCACGTACAGTCTATGGCAACTCTATGCCACAGAAATGATTGACAGGTTGGGGAGGGAACTATGTTTTTTCCCAATCCATACATTTTCTAGCAATTCTGGGAAAATGTTTCAAAACTTCCATTTTAAGAAAGATGAATGTAGATTTTACAAAGATGGTCTCCTATCGTGTCCTCTCACCAGCTCATTTCTCTCATGTGATGAATGAATAAGAAACTGGAGCCCAATATTGTATTATAATTTATACTGCCCCATTCTACCGGTATGTAGATTATAACCACGTGCAATGTTGGTTGTACCAATGTGCAACATTGTAGTAGATAGTTTTATAAATACCTGACTGTGAGCAGAGTTTCCATATTGTCCGTTGGGGTTAGCAAGATGACAATTCTTGTACCAGAAAGCTCCACGATGCGAAAGGGCACAGTTAGTGATAGCAAGATCGTTATCCCTGTCAGATGTACTGAACTTCAATCCATTGTGGTATACAAGAGCATCCCCTGACGGACAACAATCAAGCATAGTTATATCATTATATATTTGTACAATTGTGAATTTTAAAATAAATTATGCTCAGGGCAATAGCTGCGTTGTATACAAATATTTCCATAATGCTTCATTTTATTTCAAAGCCCTCAATGAAATAAAAATACTCAGTGCACAGACTTGAGATTGTTCATTAGTTTGAGAATTTGCCCCAAAAAATCAGCAATTTGATACTATTTTAAGGCGATTTCAGAGAAAATACTTTCACTGAAAACTGATTACAATTTGATAAAGGCACCGAATACCCTTAAAGGATTCACAAGATTGGGCTAATCAGCTTGGCTATATTGCTTGGAAATGAGCTCCCAAGAAATTTCTGTAATAAATCAGTGTTACAAAAAAAAACTAAACTAGTCAGCTAGCTTGCTACACCAGTAACCACAAACCCGTTAAAATGTGAAAAATATGTAATTTTAAAGAAATGGCCCATCACTTTGGTCCCTTTTATTCCCTCATACCATACATTGCAGTGGGAAACTGTATACTGTGGGCACAGTGGTCCCATCTGATCTCTCCTCCACCCCCTGGGCTAACTTATAAATATCCCATCATTTGAATTTTGTAGGGTTATTAATGAATCTTGTTTTCATAATAATCCCAATTATGCTATACATCACAGTTGTCTTACAAGCAGCCCTCTAGCTGTTTCAGAACTACAACAACCACGATGCTTTGCCTGCAGGGCTCCCTGTTGGCTTATCCTACTTGCTACCTATTCCAATTTCCCATCCCATAATTACTCCAGAGCAATGTTGTCCAATTGGTGTGCCAACCTTTTTTCAAGGAGTGACAATAATTGCCGCATTTGCCACAACCTATCCCTAGTAGTATCTAGAGTAACCTTATGACACCTAATTTTCTATTTCTACAGTATATCAGTAAGTGTCCATCTATTGTTCTGAACAAAGCATTCGTCCTTGTTGTATAGAGATTTAGGAAGCTGTAATAACTGTAATACCTGCAGTTCCAGAGTAGTCACCAACCGTCAGTTTATACTTGTCTCTGGAAGAGCCTACAGTAAATGTGCGGTACAGTGCGTACGCCGACTCAGAACCAGCACGAAGATCCACACGCAGTTCATATGGTCCTGAAGTACTCGTAAGTAGGTAAAGGGATTCCAGACCTGTAGGGGAAAAGTGGTCAGATACCAGGAAATACTGGATGCTACCTCGTTCCTGAAATTATGTTAGCTTCTACACTTTTCCTGAACTCGTCAGCATTCAAGAGCTGTTCACATACTGAACCATGACTAGGTTTCAGGACTATATGAGGGCTATTTCTAAAGAGCTATTGACTTGCAAAGCCCCAGAAGTAAACCACACGACAAGAACATTCCATTTGTTCCCATGGCGATTGCTCCAATATTAGAAATTCACCACACAATAGTGCTTTACAATTAATTCCCAGTAACTTGTAACAAGAGTCATCTGGCCCCAAGCTATAGTCATTCACATGGAATAGTCACACCAATAGAGACAACTAAACAGCTTTAAACATGGCACTCACTTTACAGAGTACTTTAATCGAAATTGAAAGGAAAACGATAATTGAGACTAGTATGAATGCAAACTGAAATTAAATATAAAGCAGGTCATCCTTTCAATGATAGTCCACCTTTACAGCAATAACCCCATCATTTAATGCTGTCGATGGGTTATGATATAATAAGCTGTGCCTTCATCTGCCATTAAGTTACCACATCCTTTAACTTAATTTTTTTTCCAATATTTGATTATTATTTGGGTTTTGTGAAAATTGCACTTGGGCCGTAGTAGAAATATCTGTGCATGTCCAGGATTTTGGAAGTAGATGCCCATGTAGATAAGTGCGATTTAGGCCATAGCCTACTGGATTTAAGCGTTTGGGAGGTATGCCTCTTCAAACTCTCATTTAGCAATCAGCAATACAATAACTACTTCAGACACAAACACAAAAAAAAATTCTGTAAAATAGTAATAAACTAATGAATGCTTGCAGCTCTCTGTAGCCATTTTTAGTTGTCATCATTCAGTATACCATTCAGCAGACTATGGTGTGATGTAATGACTTTTGGTTTTATGTTGTAATCTATCAATATATAAAATCACACATACCTTAAATACTAAGATATATTTCCGCTATAAAATATTAATTATCCTACACAAAAAAATGTGATCGTCGCTTTATGTTAGCATATATTGTATTGCTAGATACTAAACAAAAGACCATAAATTAAAAAAAAACTTGTTTGTTTTATTAGTCAGTACATTCATTTGCAGAACATTAACTTTAATTAATCATCCACGGTTCCTGTGGGATCCTCTCTGTGATTAATTAATTCCTTTCACTATAGACGCTTGTGAGTAATATATACTGTTGACTATCTCCTTTTAGTACTGACCCAGGGTATGAACAAATTATAGCTTTTTGTTTTTTAATAAGAAAAGTAGAAACTTATTTGTCTCATCTAGACCATATTTGTTGACACTCTTTGGAAATGGGAGGTTAAGTATGGTTTGTCAAAAAATGTAGACTGAGAGGAAAGTCAAGAACATAAAACATTGAAAAAAACAAGAAAATCTAAAATGAGCTGAGAGGCATGGTCGCCAAAGGGCTGCGGTTAAAGGATGAAAAAAATAAGTTTGAATTAAAAAATTGTATTGCAGACTCTCCATTCCAATCTAATATTTGTCAACTACCTATTATTTTAGCTCAATAAATACATTTCATAATTAAATAAATTTTAAAAAAATGTAATCAAAGATTTCTAAACTGTTCCTACATAAACACTGTGACTTGCCAACTGACTTCACCTACCAAGCCAATACTCGTCATTGGGATCCCCAAAGCCCTCCACATATACTCTCCATTTCTGATTGAAATCAAGTTTTCCACTGCTTCTTCTTTGAAGGACCTATAGCAAATTTAATATAGGAACATTAGAAAATTACTTTGTCTTTCATCCAGAACCACCATGATCATCAATCATCCGAGATCTATAAACCAAGGTATTTGGTAAATATATATATTTACTGAAGGTAATTAATCATTATTTTTCTCCCATTTTTTTTAGGTTTGCACCAAGCATTTTTCATAGATTCTCAGTTTTGTGTAAGCACTCAGTGTAATACTAAATTTAGTTATTCTGTTATGTTATTTGTATACTTAGTAAAATATAATTTTTTTTATTCACATTCCAGTTGATTACAAGATAGCCTTGATAGATTAATAAAAATAAGACATTCCCACAGATCTAGTACTTACAGTCCATCCGCCTCCATCGGTCTCCATGTCACAATATGCTCTGATAGCTTTTCCCTTGTCTCCACCAGGGTAGATTGAGTATATGCCACTTTTACTGTTCCCGCTAAGATGGACCTGATTGCAGTCCTTAGGATGAGTGTAGGCAATGGCCAGTCTATATCCTGAAAAGTAAGGCAGAAGATTAGTAGACAGTACATTAAAAATTGATTTAGGACATAGTAATGAAAGGTGAATTGTGTCTACAAATAAAGTTAAAAGATCTATACAAAAATCAGAGCATCTTTGATAAGCTTTATGGATTTTAGTGTGTAACATATGAAGATTTTAGTAACAGGCCTACTTAGCGGGTGCAGGATTGATAGCAATAGTAGGGACAATACTAAGGACCTACTTGTGGTATTAGTATTGTAAACATGCAATAAGCTTAAGCTGTGATGCCAAAGATGTCTTGCATAAATCACTACTGGTGTGTACCACCACCTATCATATAAAACAGATATTAAGCCTTTAGAACAAATGGTTGGATTCAAAACATACCAGCATCTACTAGGTTAAATAACGTTTATATCCTTACTGGTAGAGAAGAAAGTAGTTGCTTGTGTGCTCCTTTGACTGCCTTTGTAAGCTTTGAGGTACACGTTGTATTTCATTCCTTTGCTCAATCCTGTTAGTGTGTAGCTTGTACTTCCAGCATCCAGGTTGATATCCTGTCATATACATTTAGAATAAGGTATGTACAATGTTATAATGTTATGTACAATGTAGTTTGTAGGTGAACAGAACAATGCTTGGACAAACTTTTGAAAATGGAGCAATCTGCCTCAACATTCTGTTGGTGATTGCCTACCTTTTAGAAACTGCTCTTCATTCACAATATCAAGGGGACACTATAGGCACTTTAACCATTTCACTTCACTGAATTGTTTATATAGCCTGTCGCCCCCTGGTCAGTGGCGTACACATGAGCCATGGGGCCCCGGGGCGAAAATTGATCCGTGGGCCCCCCCCCCCCCAGCGTGCGGGCCGGGCCGCAACACATGGCAGTGGGCACCTGGTCGCAGGGGTTACAGGGCTGCGACCCCTGCGACTGCGGTATGTACGCCAGTGCATGCAGATGCACACACACTTAAAGGACCACTACAGACACCCAGATCACATCAGCTTCATGAAGTTGTCTGGGTGTCAGGTCCCTCTAGTTTTAACCACTGCTATGTTTCACTGAGGGTTAATCCAGCCTCTAGTGGCTGTCTCACTGACAGCCGCTAGAGGAGCACACTGATTGTCCATAGGAAAGCATTGAGTAATGCTTTCCTATGGGCGGTTTGAATGCGTGCGCGGTCGCATTCAGAGCTGAGGGATCCCCAGCGCCAAGGGAGTCTGGCGCTGGAGAAAGGTAAGTGCTGAAGACACACTCTCACACATACAGACGCATACACACTAGCTAACAGACACACACATTTACTGACAGACACACTCAGCGACAGACATACACACTCACTTACAAAACATACACTCTCATTGACAAACAAACTCACTAACAGACATCAAACAGACTCACTAACACACACACGAACACACACACACTCAGTAAGACACACACAGTAACACACTCACTGACACTCACTTGCAGACACACACTAACATTCACTCTCACTCTAACACTCACACACACTAACACTCACTCACTTTTACACTCACACTAACACTCACTCTAACACTCACACTAACACACTAACACTCACACTAACACACTAACACTCACTCTAACACTCACACTAACACACTAACACTCACTCTAACACTCACACACACTCACTCTAACACTCACTAACACTCACACTAACACTCACTAACACTCACTCTAACAATCTAACACACTAACACTCACACACTAACACTTACACACTAACACTCACTCTAACACACCAACACTCTCTAACACTAACACTCACACATGTTTTTTTTTAATGTAATCCCCCCAGCCTCCTTACCTTTTGGCGTGCTGGGGGGATTCCCTGGGGTCCAGTGGTGCTGCTGGGCTCCTGGGCAGGCAGTCTGTGTGGCCGGTCGGGCGGGTAGGCAGGCGGGCGCGCGAGGGAGCACTCAGTGCTTCCTCTTCAGCTCCCTCACGCGCCGCGCAGGGATGCCGGAGCCGGAAGATGACGTCATCTTCCGGCTCCGGTATCAGTGCGGTGCGCGAGGGAGCTGAAGAGGAAGCACTGAGTGCTCCCTCGCGCGCCCGCCTGCCCGACCGGCCGCCCGGGTTAGCAGGGCCAGCCTCGGGGGGCCCTGGGGTGGTCGGCTCCAGGGCCCCCCAGGGGAAGAGGCTGGCCCTGGACGTACATACCGGGTCGCAGGGGCGGCCGGGCCCCCTGGAGGGCCGGGCCTGGTCGCAGCCGCGACCCCTGCGACCCTGGTATGTACGCCACTGCCCCTGGTCAAAGTCCTCCATTCAATATTAAACCATTTGCAAGCAGTTTAAAGGACACTGTAGGCACCTAGACCACATCAGCTCATTGAATTGGTCTGGGTGCAGTGCTTCAAGACCCTTAACTCTGCAATTGTAATTATTGCAGTTTTTCACTAGAGGGACTACCGGGTTGTTAGGCGACTTTTGGTCAACACCCAAACCCTATAGGAAAGCATTATACAATGCTTTCCTATGGGTGAAGTCCTAATGTGAACACGGTCATTGCCGCGAATGTACATTAGGTCTCCCCCACGGCGCTTGAACCAGCGTCAAGGTACAATCAGGTAAGTAATAAAGGGATTTTTAACCACTTTAGCACTTCGTTTTCCCAGCACTATAGTTTCCCTTTAATAGAATTAAGTTCTCTGGCCATTCACAGACTGGCCGCCAATGGAGGTATTATTAAGGCACAGATTACATACTTTCTTAGTCATACAAATAAATAACAGCAATGGGCGGCTGTAATACGCTGAACATGGCCAGCAGACATTCTCCGCCAATCACTGCTGACAACCGCTGTTTAGACCAATGCTTCCTCATTACATGATGGGATCCTGCGGGCTCTTGTATAGCACTAACACATTATAACATTGATTTAACTTTGAATGGAAAGACAGTGCAAGGGAACTCCAGATACTAAAACCACTTCAGTTGCAATGCCTACAGTGACCTTTAAGGTTGCTAAAAGTTAATGGTAAGGAGTAATGTTATTTATTATGTAGCAAGGAAACATTGTTATAACCACTATGTTTTTCAGATACGTGATTATGACATTATCAGGGCTCTATTTTTTCCCAACTTGGCTATTTTCTCAACTATTACAGATTTTATTAACAGCCCTGTAAATAATTAAATAGAAATTCTATGACTCGGACAAGACTTGTTTTTGACCAAGCATTTTAATGTTGCCTGTAATATTATTCAGAACATACATTGTGAGCACTCCTGGGCTTTTTATACTCAGCATCAGAGACTTTTTTTTCAAAGGATTTAGCGAATCTTTATGCTTGTCCTACTGGAGTCAAAAAATGTAGGGGAACCTTAGCTTCAGCTATGATAGTGCAGTTTTGCATTCAGCTAACATACATAGTCAAGGGCAAACGTAGACTCCGCTGGGTATAATAAAAGAAAACTGATTTCTCTTTTCAAGTGCAAAATATTTATACCTGACTGTTACCATCCGCATCCTCATAAGTCAATGTATAACCATCTATCTGGGCAGTAGGTGCAGTCCAAGTCAAAGAGGCTTCAGACGTCGAGATCTCAGAAGACTGCAAATTAGTAGGAGGGTCAATTTCTAAAGATAGAAAGAAGGAAGAGGTGTTTTTTTGGGGGGGGGTTCAATTGTTTTTTTACAAGAGACAATCACATTTTATATGTATATTATGCAGGGCATATAAAAAAAAATAAAGATATAATTTTGAGATTAAAAGAAGATATATTTTGATATACCTTAAATTGGTGGTTGTTACCCTTGGATTGGGACCTAAAATTAGGGATCCCCATGCTATATACGAGTCCCTAGTATTTTTATTCTTATCACATTGCTCACTCCACGGCCAACAACCCATTATAAGGTGATTACTGTAGCAGCTCTGTCTTCCCCGTTACTAAGAAGACCTCAATATTGCACTGGGAAGAGTCTGATGAAGGGTTATTGATTCATTAATTTTGTTATATAGAACAAAAAACAAAATTAGTTACCAGCGCACTGACCCAAATCCCTATGCACGTTTACATAACTGGAGGTTTTTGGTATGACTCCAATGGCCGTAAAGTGTAAGTTCACCTGCCACATTAAGGCAAACCTCTTAGGTGAGTCCTACACTAACAAATTACCTTGTAGTTTTCAGCTAAAAAGCTAAATCTCTAATGAACCAGAGAAGGATACATAGACCTAAAAAAAAAAAAAAGTTACCTGCAGACCAGCCCTAATTTTGTTATATATTATATTACTGTTGGGGGGGGGGAGGTGAGATAATTTTAAAAACTACAGAATGGATCTCCAAGTTAATGAATGTATGTAATTTGGGTCAGAATAGACAATAATTATTGTTGTAAATCATTAAGGTGTATCAATGCACCATTGGAGATGAAGATGGATTTGTGATGCTTAGAAAGCAAAGGACTCTTAAATACCTCTTAAACAGGTGATATATAAAATACCTCTTAAAGAGGTGATATATAAAATACCTCTTAAAGAGGTGATATATAAAATACCTCTTAAAGAGGTGATATATAACACCACCACTCAACTGGTTGGCGTTGGCTAGCAAACGATAATTAAAATAATATTTTTCTAATTCTGCTCACCACTGCACATTCGTTACACCCTGAACTTTACAGGTTACCAATATCTGTGAGCAATCTACAAAAAGGCAATAAGTTGTTATATTACAAGAAAACGATATGGATGTTCAGGTTTACTTGCAATACATTTAGTGGCACACACAATTATTATTCATATGTACTTTGTATTTGAGGAATTAAGGAATGTACACCAGAAGTTCCAAAAATCTGTCTTCTAATAGTTGCTAATATGCAGGCAGTTCCATTGGGAAATCCACAGTAATTTTAAATAATTTAAAATGTGAGCCAGCTACCACCCTATCACCCTTTTACATATTTCTCATAATGCATATGTGTTAAGACAAGGAACCACTGGTATCTCTTCATTAATCACGTGATATCAGAGTCTTGTTCTACTTTTCTTGGAAGAACATTCAATGGGATGATTTAGTTAAGACCTCTGGAAGACTGACCACCGGAGCAGCCCATAGATCAGCCAATAGAATCTAGGGTGACATTAAATCCTGTCTCCTAACACAAGGTTCCTTCTTAACTAGATACATATAGCATTCTTTAATGTTGGGACTAACATCTTCTGACTGAATCTGATGGATACCTATGTTATGAATAAAATGTATATTTGTGTTGCGAGTTACCTTCACTTGTTCATTGTTACCTTCAATGAAACATACTTCATGTGTAACTAGAAGATCTGGTACTCGTGTACCAGTCTGGGGTCAAGAAGGATTTCTTTCCCTAGTTTGTTGCAAAATTGGAAAGGGCTTCTAACTGGGGTTTTTTGTTCTTTTGGATCAACAGCAAAAGCAGATGTGAAAAAGGCTGAACTTGATGGATGCAAGTCTTTTTTTTCCAGCTATGTAACTATGTAATCTGATTGTCCACATCACATCTGCTATACCAGGAAATAGTCTTCAAATATATTATCTAGAATTCAAGTTGAGAAATCCAAACCTCAATCCACATGTGGCAGAGAGGTCTTTTTTACCATGTCCACTTCAGATTACATATTAGAGTATAGTTTTGACATGGGGCTTTAACGGTCAAGATGAGCAACAGCAGACATATATGATATGACTTTTATTACATCTGGTTAATTAATGCCATTCAAACACAAGCTTCTAGACATATATTTGTAAAAAAAAAAAAGAAAAAGAAAAAAAAAGATCTTTGCACATCTGGAGACCTTATGGATATTTTGACTAGTGCAGGTTGGAGGAGGGCATGTGTTTGGCTTGGCATGAGGCAGGTGTAACATGATGGAGCACAGCTTGTAGCAAGATTTGTCAATATGTTGCCCTGTAAATGTTCTAGTGCAAAAGCATCTGGGCTCCAGAAATGAACGCCTCCCTGTCTTTTTCAGGAATATGTAACGTGATGCCACGGTTGCTCACAAATTGCAATTTCCATATTTCTAGCTCAAAGGAAAAGTAAAGAGACCTGTATCCAGTGGCGTATTAAGGGCAGTGCGAGGGGGCGGTCCACCCCGGGTGCCACTCACTAGGGGGGTCGCCATGAGCAGTGCGCTTTAGGATGTGTGAGCTGTGAGGCAGGGACAGGGTGCCATGGCAGCTGAACAGCTTACACACGCAGGACTGCCTGCCTGTAAGTGTGTGTGTGTGTGACTGTCTGCCTGTGACTCTGTGTGAGTGTCTGCCTGGGAGTTTGTGTGTGTGACTGCCTGCATGTAACTGTGTGTGTGTTTGTGTATGCCTGCCTGTAACTGTGTGTGTGTAACTGTGTGACTGTGTGTGTATGTGTGTGTGTGTATGTGTGTATGTATGTGTGTGTGTGACTGCCTGCCTATAACTGTGTGTTTGACTGTCTACCTATGACTGTGTGTGTATGATTTTCTGCCCATGACTCTGTGTGTGAGTGCCTGCCTGTGACTGTCTGTGTGTGACAGTGTGCCAGTGAGTGTGTGTGTGTGTGTGTGTGACTCTCTGCCTGTGATTGGGGATGCTGCCTGTAACTGTGTGTGTGTGTGTGTGACTATCTGCCTGTAATTGTATGTGTGACTGTCTGTAACTGTTTGTGTGCCTGGAAATGGACTCTGAAGACTGTTGCTAATATTTGTGTGTAAAAAAATTAATTCCATTGTAAGGGGCTAAGCAGGGGCTTTAGAGGGAGAAGCAGGGAAGTGTTTTATTGAAGGGGGTGCAGGGGTTTGTAGAAGGGGGACAGGGATTTTGTTTAAGGAGGGCTGAGCAGGGGATTTGTGGAAGGGGGTGCAGGGATTTTGTAGAACAGGGAAAGGACATGCGTTTTGTAAAATGGCGGGCAGAAAGGGGTTTTGTAGAAGGGGAGGGACAGTTTTTTTTTCAAAATTTACACATTTGTGCAATTTTTAAAAATGAAAACATTAAAACATTAAAAATATTGTGGGTGTTTTTTTACATTTTAAAGTGGGAGGGGGGTTCAAACACAGGATAAACCCCGGGTGCCACATGCTCTAGGTACGCCGATGCCTGGATCCATCACTTTTTATAAAGTGCAATCCCTTCAACTGTCAAATGTTGGATAGAGTCTTATCAAGGATGGACTGACCACTCAGGTACATCGGTAATGGACCTAGGGCCCGAGGTGGTTAGGGGTCCGGCTGAACAGCCATGCTTTGGCTGGGGAGATCACAGATTTCACATATTTGAGTAAATGGAAAGTCAGCCTGGCTTGAATGCACATCAAGCTTCTGGTCCATTATGCAGGATGGCTTGCTGAGAGCAGACCCTGCAGGGAGCTGCCAGCAGGGTCCTAGTGCCCTAATCATACTGCTTGCATCTCTCTTGATGGGCTCATTCTATGAATATTGGGGACAGTTCCCAGGTGTCCCCAAAAGTGGGACACGAGAGAACTAAGGCGGGAGAAGACACAAAAATCCTACTGAATTCGGGACAGTTGGGAGACATGCTCAGGACACCTGCCTTGCTCACACCCCTAAATTTAAAGTGTTCCTCTTTGTCCATTTGAAATGCTGGGAGGTTATGCCCTGAATAATTCTGCATGCCTGCATGATGAGACAGTCATTAAACTCAGAGCACCATCACAACTTCATCAGAATGAAGTTCCCGGTGCCAGTTTACCTCTACGAGTTCACGAACGATTTAACCCAAAGTTTTGAAGCCATCACTGTTTAGCTTTGCCTCTGCCCTTTCACCACTCTTAAATTCTAGAAACACGAAGCCTCAGACTGCCTCCAAAAGGGTGTCACTGAATGGCTGGTGCCAGCAATCTCTGTCGAAGTTGTTTTGGTGCCCAGAGTGTACCCTTAAATTCTAAATCCTTACCTGTGAAGAAGGCAGTTCTGGCTCTCTTGCTTTGAAGATTTCCTTTATAAGCCAACAGGTACACAGTGTATTCATATCCCATCCGCAGCCCTCTCAGCACGTAGCTCTTGCTTGCAGAATCTAAGTTGACCTCCTGCCAAATATATGCAAAGTGATAAAATGACTAGCATTAAGACGTCAGATAAAGTTCGAAATTGCTTTTAGACATTGCACTGTTTTTATTTTCAGCGTTGTGTTGAACTAGCTAATTAGTGTGTCTCTAACACCTTGCTAATTAAGGTTGTAAGAGCTGTCTTCATGTATGACTTTAACCCTTCCTAAATTGGATGGAAAGAATGGAGTTATTTTCACGTAATAAGATGTATAATGATTGCACATCAGTAAGATTGCTGTAATGGGGTGCAAAGTTCTTAAAATGTGACAATAAGTCGGAACATTCTTTTGTATTCCACAGTGACCGCTGCACCTTTAGAGCAGAGAATTGCTTTTCTTTTTAGATACTTTCAGTATTTTACAAAATGCATTAGTCTTTTTTACTCTCATTACTGGTACACTCAGCAGAACAGCATACTAATTCCAGCAGAGGTTACTGAGGGACTCTCGAAACTAAATAATAATCTAATTTAGAAGGAACTTCATCAGAATTAGTGAAACTGTTCTCTCGAATATTACATACTTTCTAAACTTTTCCTCCCCAAAACTTTTTTTCCTCCCCCAATTTTTTTTTTATTATCACTGTGTAATTATGTATAGCACAACGCACTGCTATTGTTCATTACTCTTGAATTTCAAATTTAAAGCCAGAATAATTGAACTGAAAACATAGCTAATTTACACAATTATTCCAGTTCTACTTTCACCTTAAATTAGAAATTCACTTTGAATTCACCTTGAATTCTCACTTTAGTAAAAAAAATAAAAAAATTAGACTTGCACAAGGAAAAAAAATAAATTCACCATAACACCACCATAAATGTAAAAAAACAAACAGGACAGCTAAATTTTGACTGTATGGTTGCTGGGTTGTGCGAATTTCATTAATGAAAAAAAGATTCAGACGAACCAAGAGGTCACGAAAATGGGCTAACCAGTATACTGCAAAAACAAGTGTACTAGTAAATATATAATATAAATATTTCTAATTTTCACGAAATTTGGTATACAAATCAAGTGAGAAAAAGTAACCAAAAGAGGGGAAAAGGCGCAATAATTAAATTTATATATTTATTACATATAAATGTGAAAATATAGATTTATTTTTTTTTACTGATCCTTTTTTTCTCCCTCTACTGGTCTCTTTCCCCTTGACCTGTAAATAAAATCAACATTTAGTGGTTGACCCAGCCATCAGTCTTCTCTTTTCCCATAAATCATCTTGGTTCAGGAATTTAGACAATCACCCTACTGGCCCATATTTGGACACACTGAGGTTCAGAACAAATTGAATCTCCAAGTTTAGTTACACTTTATCAAGTGTTAAGCCTGAGCTACCTGGCTGTTTCCATCGGAGTCCTCGTAGATCAATGTATAACCATCGATTTGTGCAATAGGTGGATTCCAGGTTAACGAGTATTCTGTCTCTGTGACCGCAGAAGCCTTTAGATTTGTGGGTGCGTCAATGTCTAAAGAGAGTAGAAATATATATGTTTATAACAGGTAAACATGCATACACAGGTAAACACACTGTCAGCTGTCATGCACAAAGTACAGAGAACAGATGTACACTATATTACACGCTATCACACACAGACACCTGCCTATCTCTGATTTTGGCTGTCCGTGTATGACGACAGATGACTGTCTCTGGGGAGTGTGCAATGGAAGTGAGATCTCTGTGTCTAAGTACTGTCTGTGTCTAAGGGTGGCTATTTGTGTGTTAAGACAGTTTAGTGCCCCATTATCAATTAATGATTACATTTCCTCAAAAGAAAATTCAGAGACTTGAAAATGTGATCATTCTTCAAATTACAGCATCATATGATCTAAAAAAAATTTGCCTTTTTAAAAACGTTATCTATCTATCTCTCTATTTGTCTGTATGTCTGTATATCTGTATGTCTGTCTATCTATTTACTCTGTTATTGGCTACCTAGTTATGGATTTATATATTATATAAACAGAGCCTTGCGTATATATGCTCAAGACTGATATTAGACATACAGGCTGGTATTTAAAGGACCACTATAGTGCCAGGAAAACATACTCGTTTTCCTGGCACTATAGTGCCCTGAGGGTGCCCCCTCCCTCAGCGACCCCCTCCCGCCCGGCTCTGGAAAGGGGAAAAGGGGCAAAACTTACCTTTTTCCAGCGCTGGGCGGGGAGCTCTCTGCCTCCGATCCTCCCCGTCAGCTGAATGCGCACGCGCGGCAAGAGCTGCGCGCGCATTCAGCCGGTCGCATAGTAAAGCATTATCAATGCTTTCCTATGGACGCTTGCGTGCTCTCACTGTGATTTTCACAGTGAGAATCACACAATCGCCTTTAGCAGCTGTCAATGAGACAGCCACTAGAGGCTTTGGGGGAAGGCTTAACCCATTTATAAACATAGCAGTTTCTCTGAAACTGCTATGTTTATAAAAAAAAAAGGGTTAACCCTAGCTGGACCAGGCACCCAGACCACTTCATTAAGCTGAAGTGGTTTGGGTGCCTAGAGTGGTCCTTTAATTCACTTGCTGTGTGACCCTGGGAATTAAAGTAAGAGGTTACTTGAGAAGGTAACCAGTAGCAACCAAATTATTGTGGGTTATGTCTCTGGTTCTTATCATTTATAATGATAACCTTACCTGTGAAGAAGGCAGTTCTGGCTCTCTTGCTTTGAAGATTTCCTTTATAAGCCAACAGGTACACAGTGTATTCATATCCCATCCGCAGCCCTCTCAGCGCGTAGCTCTTGCTTGCAGAATCTAAGTTGACCTCCTGCCAAATATATGCAAAGTGATAAAATGACTAGTATTAAGACGTCAGATAAAGTTCGAAATTGCATTTAGACATTGCACTGTTTTTATTTTCAGCGTTGTGTTGAACTTTTAAACAATTTTTTTTTTAGAGAAGCTAATTAGTGTGTCTCTAACACCTTGCTAATTAAGGTTGTAAGAGCTGTCTTCATGTATGACTGTAACCCTTCCTAAATTGGATGGAAAGAATGGAGTTATTTTCACGTAATAAGATGTATAATGATTGCACATCAGTAAGATTGCTGTAATGGGGTGCAAAGTTCTTAAAATGTGACAATAAGTTGGAACATTCTTTTGTATTCCACAGTGACCGCTGCACCTTTAGAGCAGAGAATTGCTTTTTCTAGATACTTTCAGTATCTTACAAAATGCATTAGTTTTTTTTACTCTCATTACTGGTACACTCAGCAGCAGTGGTGTATTTAGGATTTGTGCTGCCCTAGGCGGGATGGTGCTTGGGCAACCCCCTTAATTTAAATTTTCCCCACCCCTTCCTGTCAAGGCTGCACTTTGACTGACAGACGCTCACTCACTGACAGACGCGCACTCACTGACAGACGCACACACTCATCGACAGACACACACTCTCACATACACTGACAAACAATGACATACACACACTCACTGATTTGACACACTGATAGACATACACTATTACTCAGACACACACTGACAGACTCACACTCAATGACAGATGCACACTCTTATTGACAGATGCACGCACTCACTGACAGATGCACGCACTCACTCTCAGACCGACACATACACACTGACTGACCGACACACACACTGACTGGTCTCTTTCCCCTTGACCTGTAAATAAAATCAACATTTAGTGGCTGACCCAGCCATCAGTCTTCTTTTTTCCCATAAATCATCTTGGTTCAGGAATTTAGACAATCACCCTACTGGCCCATATTTGGACACACTGAGGTTCAGAACAAATTGAATCTCCAAGTTTAGTTACACTTTATCAAGTGTTAAGCCTGAGCTACCTGGCTGTTTCCATCGGAGTCCTCGTAGATCAATGTATAACCATCGATTTGTGCAATAGGTGGATTCCAGGTTAACGAGTATTCTGTCTCTGTGACCGCAGAAGCCTTTAGATTTTTGGGTGCGTCAATATCTAAAGAGAGTAGAAATATATATGTTTATAACCAGTAAACATGCATGCACAGGTAAACACACTGTCAGCTGTCATGCACAAAGTACAGAGAACAGATGTACACTATATTACACGCTATCACACACAGACACCTGCCTATCTCTGATTTTGGTTGTCCGTGTATGACGACGGATGACTGTCTCTGGGGAGTGTGCAACAGAAGGGAGATCTCTGTGTCTGTGTCTAAGTACTGTCTGTGTCTAAGGGTGGCTATTTGTGTGTTAAGACAGTTTAGTGCCCCATTATCAATTAATGATTACATTTCCTCAAAAAAAAATTTGGAGACTTGAAAATGTGATCATTCTACATATTACAGCATCATAAGATCTAAAAAAAAATTAGCCTTTTTAAAAATGCTGATGTATAAAGAGTGTAGTTTGCTAAATAGAAGTGAGAGATGCCAGACAACCCCTCAAACTTTTGTTCTCTGTCTCGCTGTCTCTGTATTATTTTTTCAGTAACATGTTGGTGTTACCTTTTATATTAGATATATTTTTCTATTAAAAGCACATTAGTTGATCCATGTTTTGATTCTCAGATTGAGTACGTATTAACATAAGACAGAATGGAACACTATGTACTAGTAATATCTCACCTGTTGTGGCTGTGACACTGGTTCTCTTACTGCGTTTGTTGCCCTTGACTGCCCAGAGTTCGAAGATATATTCCATGCCTGGGATAAGGTTGCTTACGACGGTGGAATCCTTTGATTTGTCTACGGCTACCTCTTCAGTGGCACCATCTAGTGATGTGTAACTGAGCATGTACCTGTCTATATCGGCCTGGCTGCGTTCCCAGGAGAGGCTGGCTGTATCCTCGCCCACATTTGTAGTCCTTAAATTTTTGGGCCCATCAATACCTGAAGATAAATATTATGAGTATGAGTATTCAGTTACAATATAAATAAACAAATAAAGTTTGCAAAGATCAGCAAAATTGCTGTACGGATGTATACGCCAAATGGTCAATATTAGAAGTAAGCATTATTTTATCAATTTTTTTAAGAAATAATATGAACATTCGTAGAGATCAACAGAAAATATTTAAAGCAAAGGTAAAATATTTGCAATCATACCTAGGAAGAGATCAGTAAACACAATATAGATAAACACTGCTCAAAAGGCCAATAGCAAGACACACAACAAATGGAGTTTACCTTGTCGGTGCCTTGAAACCAGACAATGTATTTCTTGTGTAGTTTCCATTTAATAGCAACATTTAGTGGATCAACCCCTCTATTTGTATTTTAGATTCCCACAGCATCAATGGACTATAAGTGGTTTCTAAACTCTTCAAGTCAGAGCCACACACTGTGGGATGTGTATGAAATAATTTTCTTAAAATTCAGAAAAAAAGAAATTATAACCACATACATGCTGAATGTGTTTCACGCTCTTTGCATGCTTACTCAACAGCTATTATTTACTGAGAAAAGTGTGCATACTTTTGCTTTTGAGAATGCTCATATTCAACCACAAACCCTTTTCTGTGGTTGTTTGTGTCTGCATTTTACATAGTATGACCATACAGAAAATTCTTTATATGCGTCACGCTGTGTGTTCCGAGTTGGGGAGGTGTGGAGTAGAAGCCATTTCAGTGCAACGAATACTGTGGTAATCTTGCAGTCATACAGTTGATACTCTAAATGTTGCTGCTGTAGTATATCTACCTGATACTTGAAATTCTGCTTAACCAGCCTTTGGAATACTGCTAAATAACATATTCTTTGAACTGCTGTTACATTATGCTGGGATAAGTTAATCAGTAGAAAGACATATAGCCAGGGGGGGCAGAGCTGGCCAGCTAACTGAGCAGACGTGCCTAGCTGAAGCTCCAAACGAGCTGACAAAACGGGTATTATAGCGCACAAAAGCATCTTATTCTCAAAACACCTCAATGGGGAAGCGGGCAAAGAAAAACAAACAATTACCAAACTCCAGATCTCAAAATATCGGAGATTACCTGTATGGAGGCCTACCGCGTGCAAAATCCAAGATGGCGGATCCACCAGTAGAGGAATCATCCTCCGAGGAGGAACCCTCTCTGGAGACACTGGACACTCTGGATGCCATCCATCAAGCTGGAGGCCCACACCACTTATCCTCAGATAAGGAAGATCAAACCCCAGCTACCAAGAGCAACAGCGCTCCTGCACAACTTACATAAGATGTCCCAGGCAGATGTCACCATCCTGAGGGAAGAAATACATACCCTGACAGGACGAATCAAGGTCACAGAGGAAGAGGTGATAGACCTCAAAGCCACTCAGGCCTCGACCAGCAAGGAACAGAAACGACAAGCTCAAACTCACACAGCTCTGGTGCAAAAGCTGGGAGATCAGGAAGATCACAGTAGATGCAAGAATATTAAAATCCATGGCATCCCCAAAATGGTGGATCAGACAGAGATACTGCTTTTCCTGAGGCGTCTTTTCCAACACCTATTGCCACACAAGCAGGCCAAAAGCCTCCTCATTGACAATTTCTACAGAATCCGTACCCAATCCCAGCAAACACATCAGGCTCCAAGGGAACTTATCATACAATTCGTAACACACCAGGATAAAATGTCCTTCATGGCGGCGGTCCGGAACTCACCAACTCTGGACTTTGAGCAACAGTCCTTGGTATTCTATGCAGACCTGTCCAGAATCACCATGATGTGGAGACAATTGCTACGTCCTATTACATGCATCCTACGGGATAACAAAAATCCCTTACCACTGGGGAATGCCAAGAGCCCTTCATGTCATAAAAGACGGGACAGTATACAAGCTCCACTTGAGAGCAGAAGCCCCGAACTTTCTTGACACCCTAGGCATTGATAATCAAGTCGACCCAACAACTAACAGGCAACAGAGACATCTCTGGAATGTAGCCAACTACACCCCATTTGTGCCAGGCGGAGGGCCATCCACTTCAATGACGAGCCCTGCAGATTGAACAGAATGACTTCCACATCACATCGCGGCAGTGATGCCCTCTTTCCATGTGCTGAACCTACAGTGATCAGCATTTCTGGAGTTACTGACCCTGCAGGGAATGCTCCAGAGGTAACTTGTGACAGTTGGTCAACCTGCCTTTCAAGGTTCTAATAGAGCTATGAAGCACTCATTTTGCTCTTCCCCAATGAACTTGTGTCTGTCCTCAAGTACTAGGAGCCTTATTTTTTTCTGATCAGATATACCTGGGCTCGTCATATTCTGGAGACTTGGGTGGTATCCATAGTCCAGATGGATATAGACTGGAGTTTTTTTCAGACACGGGAGTATCTATACCAACAAGAGAATTCAGACAGATGAATCAAAAGGTATAGTACTGAAGGAATATGTAAGAAACCTTCTGGACGAAGAGGTGATTTCTTAGGTCCCATAAAAAGAGCAGTGCCAGGCTTCATTTTCGCCTCTCTTCTGGTGCTAAAAGGAAAGGCCCATGGAAGCCTATACTGGACCTAAGAAGAACCAATAAAAGGCTGAATGTCAGAGTCTTCGGAGTGGAGTCAGTCAGATCCACCCCCCATCAATTTGGAAGGACAATTTCCTTATCTCTATATATCTCAAGGATGTTTACTGTCATATTCCAATAGCCCTAGATCTTCCAATTTAGTGCCCTACCATTTGGCCTCACTGCAACCTCAAGAACCTTATATGTGCTTATAGTGATATTGAGAGTCCAGAACAGCAAGAAAGTATATACAACTACTATGAATCCGGGCTTCTACCATTGGACTTGTCAGATGGGCTCAATGGCATCTCAGGATTCCTCAAAGGTCCTTCCCATCTCAGTTCAACAAGAGAAAGATAAATTAGAGCCAGCCACTGACGATGTCACCTTCAGTGGAGTTACACCTTACCTGGTATCTGAAAAGAGAAAATATATCTCTATCGTGGGGTTCAATGTCAATGCTCTTTGCTGACACTTTTTGTAAAGCTGGCCTTTGGACCTCTTTGGATATGTTTGTCCGGCATTACATACTGGACGTTAAAGCAGTCAATGATGCGCTATATGGTCGTCAAGTCTTTAACTCAGTTTAATCTTCTAATCTATGTTGAATTGTTCTGATTATTTGATCAGCAGTTATTTACATTTTCCTGGCTATTATTCATGGCAGCATATACTACCCACCCATCAATGTCTCTTTTTATCTACTGTAGACCTTGTTACTGACTGAGGACCTTAGGAATAGAGCCTCCTTTTAAAGCCTTTGGTGTTTTTCCTGTCCTATCGGCTGTAAGAGGCGGAGATAACCCATTCCCATTTGTATATGCTGCCATAAATAATAGCCAGGAAAAGAAAATTACTGTAAGTATGAATACATTTTCCACTATATAAATATATCAGTGTAGATTGGTTTAGCCGTATAAGTCCAGTAGACCAGATGCCAAAATATCAGACTATTGCAGTATGCAATGATACCTTTTTTATTAGACTAACATAATATTTCAAAGACAAGCTTTTGACCTATTGCTTCAGACCTGAGGAAGAGAGGAAAACTCTCGTTAGCATGTCTTTGAAATATTATGTTAGTCTAATAAAAAAGGTATCATTGCATACTGCAATGCTCAGGTATTTTGGCATCTTAAAAATATATCTATATACCTTTCCGAGTTTTGGCCATATGATTGCAAATGTATTCCAAAACAGCAGAATAGTTTTTTTGTTTTTTTTAAATATCCAACTGGTATAATTTTGATGTCGTAAATTGCAGTTTTCTAACCAATTTCCAACATGTGCCAGCTTTGTAAATAACCCTGACAGTTTTGCCACTATTTTAGCTGACTCTATCCATACCTGCATGATTTCCGTCGATGTCTGCAGCTAATACAGACAAATCTTTCATTTTGAATGTTGTGTGCAAACAGTGTTAGTTAATCAATCTAGTAACTGCTATGTCTCCATTGATTTATTATTTCAGCTGCTTACTAATTCCATATTCTGTCTATGCTACTCTTTTATGGTTATTTTTTTCAATGTAAGAATTAAATATTTCAAATCTGCAAATTATAATCTTGGAGTGTAAATTCTTAAAGGCATTGTCTGTTCAAAAGGCGTATTATAAAGACTTTGCATTAACAATATTGTCAAAACAATACATTAAAAAAAATGTAAAATAAAACGTTACACACTTTTTACTTTGTGTCCCTCAGAGGACCCCTCCCACACCAGAATGAGACCCTCCAATCACAAGCATTTCATTCCGAGTTCCATAAACCCAAAGACTACTTTAAATCATCACACAAGATGATCTGAGCTGTTTTTTTAACAAAAGCCACACCACAAAGTCCACTGTTTTGTGACATGGTCTATTCTTTAGAGCGTGTACAATACATGTGCAGCAAGAATCAGTGGATTTATCCATTAAACAGTGAAATGTGGCGAATTGACGAATTACACAATTCTGACCAAAATAGTAAGGATGGTAAAATTCCCCAACACAGCTAAATTTTATAGAAAGTCTAGGCATTCATAGATTACTTGACAAGATTGTGAGCAAAGAACATTTAAAGGCTCAGACCTTTGTTGTCATGGAATCAGGTTAGTTACCACCCTTAGAGTGGAGGTGGTGTGGCAATTGTGTATCAGAACTTAGTATGTCTGACCCATATTTACTATGCATCAGATGTTTATACAACACATAGTGGAAAACACAATTTATTTTGATACCTGTAACGCCAACAGCAGAGGAAGCTTTTCCTTCGACCAGCCCTCTCACAGATTGGAGTTTAATGTCGTATGTGGTGCTCGGGCTCAGATCTGTGGGGTGGGGGATACAATTGAAATTCAGAATTGAAACAATATGTAATTAAATTAATGACCTAAAATTTTAGGATTAAACATGCCTGCAAACTACAAACACAAGAATTGTTAATTGGAATCTTATTTTATTGTCAACTGATATCTGTCAAAAAAAAATTTATTTTTCCAGAACCAATATGGAATAACAGAAACACTGCTATTCAACACAGAGAATTTATTCAAATAATGTAATCTGAAATTTACCAAAACGTTTAGGATTCAAAGTTGCATATTGATGTAATTAACAAGCCTATACACTATGGGGAGCAGCACTTTACTCTCTCCTCTAGCTCTGCTTCACTCCCACCTTATTATTACTATTATAATGTCTCAACATTTAAAACTTCTCTCAAGAACACCATCTATTTTGCGTAGATAACGCTCATTTGAGAAACCTAAAATACTATACCAACATGCTTGCAAGGAGAAATAAGCGTACATATCTCTGTGTTTTTCCAACATTACAGATGGAAATAACATGCATTTAAGAGGACACTTGACGATGGTGGAATGCTGAAGTTACTTTCAGTATCTTTTTTCACTGACCTTGGAGTGCATTTACTCTAATTACTACAGATTTTAACTCTAACTCATTTTAGACAGTTATATCTAGATTTTGAGATTGGGGAGAAGGGAAAGAAAAGGTGGAAAGGGAGATGAAGAGAGAAGATATGAATGATGCAGAAAACAAAATGAGGAAACAAATCTCAGTAATTATTTTTCTCCAGTTTTGATACTATATTCTACGTATCTGATACATTATATATATTATTATATATATTATATAACCACTTGACATCTAGAGTGTAAGCTTGTTTGAGCAGGGTCCTCATTAACCTCTTGTTTCTGTAACATTTCATAATTGTCTCATTGTTAAATGTCCCTCTTTTTATAATATTGCAAAGCACTGCGTAATTAGTTGGCGCTATATAAATGTCAAAAATAAATAAATATTAGGGCAGTGGTTGGGGTTCCTGGAGACCTCTGGTGCTGGTTCATGGATCCGTACTAAACCATTTTGGAACAGCTAAACACTGTACGAGGGTCTCCAGCTACCCTCTGCCCTGCCCCCACTGGAGGTATGGTGAAAATGAAGATGACACTTCACTATGGCCATACCAACTCAAACAAAAGATAGATGTCTGGGATAGACTGAGAGGTCTTAGCTATTGCTTTCAACCAATCATTGTCTTGCTTCGCTGGTCAGGCTAAGGCAGAAGCAGGCAGCAGAGGTGGGTCAGGCTGTGGGTGCTTAGGACCCCATTCACTATTAAACCATTTAAAAACAGTTATCCAGCACAATGGGGCTCCACGTTCCATAATCACGTCTATGAGATAAAGTGGTAATGGTGCCTTGATGTCCTTAGGTGTTTAGTTAGTACCCTCTCAGTTAATCAATAAAATGAATTATCTCATTCTTATCATTCGGTTTTTGTTCACAAAAGTTATTTATCTACTCTACTGGTTAACATGATACCATAATTGCACTACACAACAATGCAAATTTCAACATTTAAATAATAGGAGTTAGTTTTTGAGCACGGCTATCTCTGTAAATCCACTGTTCCTAATAACATGTTATCTTTGTACCAAGCAGTGCAGCAAACTGAGTGTTCGAATTACAATCTCTTTAGATAGTCTTAAAAAAATAAAATGAAAAGCTATAAAATAATCTTAGGGAAAAAAAATCCTTTTTTATTAATAAAAATATATTTCAAATCTTGCATTGTGTTTCTGGAGAGAGAATTAGCTAAAAAAAAAAAGCGTACTAAGAAAAATGAGCAACTCATTAATTAGATGACTTTTTAGTTGAATGTATTTACTTTAGAAAATGTAAAAAAAAAAAATGAAAAATGTTTTGTAGCTAGATATGTTTGTAATAAATAAATTAATTTGATCTATCATCCAGTTCCAGGGATTCTCTTATTTATCTGTAGCATAAAAAAAATACTTTTGTGTTTGCTTAGTTGGTTTGCCTTTTATTCTTGTTTAATGTTGGACAAATTGCATAGGCATACAATTATGTGCCCATTCAAGTTTGTTAACATTTCTAATTGAAGCCACAATGAATGGATAGCTGCACAGGCGGCTCTCTAAGTAGGCTCTCTGATCCATGGTGGAAGGAAGACAGTGAGACTCCAGTCAAGCTACGGCGGTTGCGGAGTCTGTAGTGGTTGTGGTGTCCGGTGCGGTGCTCGTGGTCCTCAGCGCAAGCTAAGAAGCGTCCATCAACAGAGGGTACTCGTCGGAGTACGTGGAGCTCCGTTACACGCCTAAGGCCTCGCGCTGGCTGACCGAGGACCCGACATCAGGAGGGGGCCTGGCGGCTTGCCCTATATGCCGCCACGTGCGAGGCCCATCCAGTCTGCCCAGAGAGCCAGCCTTCAGCCTGCAGCTCCGTTGGGTGTGAGTTGCAGATTGAAGTGTCTCACGATCCCCAGCCATTTAGAGCATTGCCGCAAGTTACCACGGCAACACTCTGACTTCTGGAGATCACACCCGGCGGAGCTGCAGACTGGATAGGAATCCCACCGGACCACCAGGTAGCCAGGACACTATTACTATTACCCCCCTTTCCTCACACTGCCACCCCTTCCCTCCCTCACTCTGGCCCTTGTCACCCCCTCACCAAGCCCCCTGTCACACCCTTACTCAGCCCCCGGTTACCACCTCCTTCCCTCACTCTGCCCCCTGTCACCCTCCCTGACACTGCCACCTGTCACCCCCTTCTTCTCTCACTCTGCCCCCTGTCTCCCTCTCCCTTCCTGACACTGCCACCTGTCACCCCCTCGATGACACTGCCACCTGTCACCGCCTCCCTCAGCCACCTGTCACCCCCTCCTTCCCTCACTCTGCCCCCTGTCACACCCTCCCTCTCTGACACTGCCATCTGTCACCTCAGCCCCCTGTCACCCTGCCACCAGTCACCCCCTCAAGTCTGGTCCCTAATGGAGGTGTGTCTAAGGCAGAGATTACACACTTCCTTGTAGTCATACCAATTCATACTGACAATGGTTCTGATAGTCCTGAGTTCTGATAGGCTAAAAGCAGTCAGCTGACACTCTCAGCCAATCATAGATGCCCATCTATTGAACTAAACTACAGGACCAGTTGTCAGACTGGCGGAGGGTGTATCACGACTAATTTATGAAAGTGCCAATTTCTTTTAAAATCTGCACTTTTTGCAATATGAAAAAAGGACAAACACTCCACACATAAAACAGCCAACTAAAGTGCTTTAGTGTTCCTTTAACAAAACTAAAAAATGTTCCCTTAATGTCATACATATAGAATAGTATGCTAAACGCATGGCCACTATTAGATTATTTAAAGGGACACTGCCACCAAAATAACAAGAAAAAAATCATTCACTATTTTACTACAAAAAATTAATCAAAATTAAACAAAAATAAAAATCAAACATGTGCCTTGTTTACTTATATATATATATATATATATATATATATATATATATGCAGTCATCTGTCTGTTGGCATATTTTCAAGATGTTGCAGTTGTCAGGAGGCCCCATGGTTTCCAAGGTTGTAATGGATGAGTTCCAACAAGACTATAGGACTATATAGCAACCTATGTATTTGCAGGACTTAGATGTATAGGAAAAAATGAGGGTTGCAGGAGAATTTGCAAACTAAATGTAATGTTTATTTTTATTGTCTATGTGTATTTAATTATACGTATGGGACAAAGTTAAGCGACATCTGGTGCATCAATTGCTGTGGAATGATACATGATTGTATTGTAAGTTATTTTAATTTTTTTTGTGGAATTTCCCTTTACATATTATTACATAACCATTTGATGGAAAGGTCTGTCAAGTCGTCAGTAATGCTCCCATAAACCTTATCCCCTTTACTTACTGTAAATTTTAGATGGCCACGATTAGATAAAGTGCAGCCAAGTAGTAATTATCTAGTATTACTTCAGAGAAGCTACTGTTATCAAATAATGTAGCTATTCGTCTGTGTACTGTACTAATTGAACTTCAAAGACCTCCTTGTGTACAGGGAGCAACATCAACAACCTCATCATCGATTCATTAGCCTTCATGTGGGCCAGATTATTCAGATACTTCAAAGCAACTTTAATTATCCTCAGTGACTGTTTCCAGCTCTGACTGGAACTAGTATAGCAGTAAAACAGTGGCATGATATACCAAGTTTATTTATTTAATGTTATTTGGCACAATATACCAAGTTTATTTATTTAATGTTATTTGGCACGATATACCAGGTTTATGCATTTATTTTTCATTGGCTTGATAATGCATTAATGGCATTCCCCTGTTGGAACATCCTTCATAATTCATTTTACTAAATGCTTACCTGGTTGGGGAGATCATCCTTATTGATTAGTGATGCCCAAGTGTCCACTGGGCTGGGCCAAAGCTCTCCGGGCTGCTCTCTAACCACTTTTCATATCTAAATGCACAGCACTTTAATTCTTTCTATTCAATTAGCTTGTTTGTATATCAACAGATCTATTTTATTTGTGTATTTGTGTCTATCGCTGATGTTAACAGGTGGGTTGGTAAAATTATACTATGGGCCACTATATTGTTTTTGCCTCCCAGGCCACAAGTTGGCAGCCCTCCCCTGCAGTAAACCCTGCATTACACTTGTCCACCCAGCTGTAACACAATGTATTACACTAGTACAACCAATCTGTTACAGTCTGAATTTATCTAGTACACTAACAGAGTAATTCACTACAGGGACAATTTAAAGTGAATTTCAGACTTAAGGCCAAAATAGTCAAAGTAGTTTACCTGTTTTTCCACTTGTATACACAACTATTACAATCTGCATTCCACTGTACACCTGACTATAACCATCTGCAATCTGTTGTACACCCAACTATTACAATTAGTGTTCTACTAGTACACCCAAGTATTACAATCATTGAATAGTGCCAACAAAGTTTGGTGACCCAATCTACCATAATAGCAAAGTATGTATAAAGTACTAGTATAGTAATCGGAAAAACTCTGCAGAAATGTATTAGATATTTTTAAATCACCTTTTTTCCAGTCACCACAGCGGGACCTGGCAATGTTTTGACCCTAAATATTGACACTGTGCCAGATTGCTCTGCATTGACTTTAATAAAGGTGATTTAATAGAGCCTGCAGGGTGTTCTTTTATATTAATATTTATTGGCTTGGGAGATGGACATTCCATTTTACAACAGCTATTTAAACCTCTCTGCATATTACGAAGGCATTAATGTCCTTGTATGGCATTACACTAATGGAACCTGTATATTGCGCTAGTATGGCTCTGTCTGCAGAGTGTTCTTTTATATTAATATTTATTGGCTTGGGAGATGGAGATTCCATTCTACAACAGCTGTTTAAACCTCTCTGCATATTACAAAGACATTAATGTCCTTGTATGGCAGAATAACCTGTATTCATCTAGTGGAACACCTTGTATATCAGAACACCCTGAATTCCACTAGCGGAACCTGTGTACTATGCTAGTATAACAGAACACCCTGTATTCCACAAGCAGGACCTGTGTACTGCACTAATCTAACAGAACACCCTGTATTCCTGTAGCAGAACCTGTGTGCCATGCTAGTATAACAGAACACTCATAGGCGTGCGCACGGGGTGTGCCGGGTGTGCCTGGGCACACCCTAATCCCCGTGTGCACGCCTATGGTTTGAGTCCTGCAGGAACAGCGTGTGTTTGTGCTTTAGGGTGCACACCCTAATGCAATAGGCTGCGCACGCCTATGAGAACACTGTATTCTTCTAGCAAAACCTGTATACTGCTCTCGGATAACAGAACACCCTGTATTCCACTAGCAGAACCTGCATGCCATGCTAGTATAATGGAACACCGTATTCTTCTAGCAGAACCTGTGTACCATGCTAGTATAACAGAAAACTGTATTCTTCTAGCAAAACCTGTATACTGCGCTCGGATAACAGAACACCCTGTATTCCACTAACAGAACCTGCATGCCATGCTAGTATAATGGAACACCGTATTCTTCTAGCAGAACCTGTGTGCCATGCCAGTATAACAGAACACTGTATTCTTCTAGCAAAACATGTATACTGCACTTGGATAACAGAACACCCTGTATTCCACTAACAGAACCTGCATGCCATGCTAGTATAATGGAACACCGTATTCTTCTAGCAGAACCTGTGTGCCATGCCAGTATAACAGAACATCCTGTATTACACTAGCAGAACCTGCATGCCATGCTAGTATAATGGAACACTGTATTCTTCTAGCAGAACCTGTGTGCCATGCCAGTATAACAGAACACCCTGTATTCCACTAGCAGAACCTGCATGCCATGCTAGTATAATGGAACACTGTATTCTTCTAGCAGAACCTGTGTGCCATGCCAGTATAACAGAACACCCTGTATTACACTAGCAGAACCTGCATGCCATGCTAGTATAATGGAACACTGTATTCTTCTAGCACAGGGGTTCTCAACCCAGTCCTCAGGACCCCCTACCAGTCCAGGATTTGGGGATTACCTGGGTGTGTCTCAGGTGTTTAGAAAAAGGGGAAAAAACACCTTAGACTCTAAGGTGTTTTTTTTTTCTTTTTCTAAACACCTTAGACACACCCAGGTAATCCCTAAACCCTGGACTGGTAGGGGGTCCTGAGGACTAACGTTGAGAACAATCTAGCAGAACCTGTGTGCCATGCCTGTATAACAGAACACCCTGTATTACACTAGCATAACCTGTATACTGCAGTAGGATAACAGAATACATTGTAGTTCCACATATGAAACCTGTGTACGGCACTAGGGTAACAGAACACCCTGCAGTTCTACTAGCGGAACCTATATACTGCACTAGTATGGCCTGTATCATTGTGAGGTTTATTCATTAAAAACCATATGAGATGAATCAAAACTGAATAGCAGATTGAATGCACAGCTCATGTGGAAAATGTATTTAGTTTAGCTATAGTCACACCTTGGTTATTTTATTTTCAATTTTAAAAAGTTTTCTCTGGCAGTTCAGTGTAGTTCAGTATTTAAGAGCACTAATCTTCATTAACATTCCAACAGACCCTATAAAATATTTAACAAAGATGTCTTGTCAACATATTAAAAAAAAAAAAGAAAGGGCATTGTTTTTAGTTTTTTGAAATTCCTGTCTATTATCTGCAGCTCGTGAATATTAAACTGAATGCCAGCAGCTCCACTGTTACCCTGCACCCCAGGCAAACATGAAAAACACGTACAAGATGTGGAAACAGAAAGCAACTTGCTAACATGTGGCTTTAGTTTATGTGAGTTACACTACATGTAAGCATTTGGCAACCTCAGATTAACAGAAGCCATGAAATATTGCTCATGTCAGAAGTCATGCGAGAAGAAAGACTTTACATCTAGTATTTAGTAGTCAATAAAATATGATTTTCAATATATATTCACTGGTATTGGTAAAGATCAAACAGAATTCAAGAACGATCTCCGGAAAAGCATTTGCATCGTAAAATTGAATTCTACGTACATTACAGTAGTCAAAGTGCTCCCAGATGTGCAGTTTTAGTAATTTGCTGTTTAGCATGCAATTTATTCATTGTGATTTCATCACCTAATTAATCTAATTGCCCAGAATGAAAATAAGGGCCTGAGGTCTCTGTTTGACTAATCTTGCTCTGAAATGTTAGAAAGAGACAATGAAGACAAACTGTACCAGTCCAACCCTTTGGACAATGTTGGTTAAACTCTGGCCTGACTGTGGTCCACATGTCACAGAAAGATTTCCAGTGGCTATTTGAGGTTCATGGGAACAAGTGTAAAATGGGTGAAAGAGGGGGTAGGGTTGGAGCAAACTTTGCCTTTGATACCACGCTCGTCACTCAGGATACTCGGGGGAGTGTCAGCCTAACAAGTCAGTCAACCAAGTGGTTTATTCATTAAACACCACAATGTACTGAGCTGAAAATCCAAATTGCAAAATTTAGGCTACACATCACTCATTCTCTGAATCAGCTATAGTCACCACTTAGCTAAGTTAGACTTTGTTTTAGACCTTTTTTTTCCTTCCAATTCACTAAAATTCAGTTTTTAGAGACAGCTCAGAAGGTGAGGACAGGGGTCCCAAATCAGTACTATCTGCCACTTACAGCACAGTTGGGAGGGATGTGGGAAACTGCCAAACAAACAATAGTTGGAGAGCCAAAAATTAGTCAACCCTGAGAGAATGTTATTTGCCACACGGATGATACATGGATCACATACACACGTAAACTAGTTGATATTATCTGGTTAGAACATTGATACTCTCACAGGCATGCAAGCTACATCACATCGGTAACGTATCCCTTCCATAACCATACCTGAGATGGTGTATCTCGTCTTGGCATCATCGGACTGTGGTACCATTACTGCTGTCTCTGCTCCGCCTGACCTAGCTTTATACATGAGTTTAAAATAATCCACTTTATTACTTGGATTTTCCCACTCAATCTCCAGGGCATCTTCGTATTCTTCCGTCACCCACAGAGTTCCCAAGGATGCGTCATCTGCAAACCAAATACATAAATAGGACTTATGCATCACAGACTGCATCAGCGCCCTCATGCAAACAGCTGTAATCTTTCAGTGAATGAAATATCATTATATTATATTAATACATTATTTTTTTATGGGTATCTTTTTTTTCCTTTTAGACAATAGAATACACACAATAGAACATACGAATGCATAATTAGAAAGAAGGTGTGAGCCCCCAGATCAGAGCAGGGTTAACCATAAGGCTACTCTAGATGGCTGAGTAGGGCCCAGTGGGTTTTACTTGGGCCTCAGAAACATGAATTTGCTTGGCTCCATTAACCATCCCTATTTGAAGAGTGAATGGGAAGTCCAAATGAGTAAGCTGCCTAGAGCCCGGTGGGATTTTAATCCTTCTCTGCATCAGATAATGTTTTATAAGAAGATGCAAGGCAATGGGCCTTTCCATTCCATCACACAACTGCCTGGTGGAAGGACAGGACACATTCTATCAACTGTCAAACTGTAGTCCATTGGGTAAAGGAATTGGGGGGGTTGCCATTCCACAAGCATCTCATTAGTAAGGAGTCTGGACAAACGTAATTTCATTTTATTTATTCAGTTTTTTGGGGTTTTCTTTAAACTATTTTTGTGATGGATGGTTAAGCAGTTTTGCATTTTTGGGGCATTTTTATGTAATTCAGGACTAGTTCAGGAATTATTCATGATGTTATTACTGAGCAATTCTTGAGGATATTTGGACTTTTTTTCACTTCTTAGAGGACAGAATTTCATGGCTAATTGAAGGCAGTTCTGAAGTGGCCCTGTGTCATTTGGAGAATTTAGGAAAATTAGAATTTAGGCACAATTTCTCCTTGTGACAAATTACAAGATTTAAATTTTCAAGAATACGCGTTAGTACTGTGAATTTTGTGCAGTTTATAAATTAACATAGTCATCTTTATCTCTATTAATATTATTATTATTATTATTAGTAGTAGTAGTAGTATTAAACCTGCCACATTGTATTTCCCATTCTTCATCTTATGTTTTATTTTATTTTGTTTTTTTCAACAATTATTTTAGTATTTAACTTTTTGCACATAAAAAAGTCTCCCTTCATTCATGTTAGACAACAAAAAGCATATTACACAGGTCCTTATTAAAGCTCAAAAATAAATTTTTTGACTGCAGTGTGGTAACTTATGTTGATGGCTAGGTATAACAACTAGGATCCACAAAGTATGCAGGTCAGAAAATATAAGTATACATTTAGGCATCTCAGAGGAAATATGATAAAGTTACACAAATATAAACATGGTCAGTAAAAACAGCTTTCTCGTAACCTATTTATTAACAGGACTGTACAAAGGACAAGGAGTCACCCATTTAGACTTAAAGAAAAGAGTTTTTGCCTATGGCAGTTGTTCAGTAAGAACAATATATATAATTATTTCCCTAAAAGTTGGCTTGATCAGATTCTGCATAGATTTAAAAATTTCATCTGATTGACATTTTGGAATAAAAACAATATTCATAATATATTAGCTCATATGTTGGGTGACAAATTGAGAAAGTATTCAAGGAAAAATCCGACAGACATTTTGAATTTAGAAAGGATTTTTTTAAAAACTTTTTTTAGGTCAACATGTGAAACAACGATGTGGAAAAGTGTGAACTTAATGTGCTTGAGTCTTTTTTCTGCCTATATTACTGGGCAAAAATAGTAAAAAAAAAAATAGATATATTTTAAAAAACTTGTTGGTCGAATTAATTTGCAGGGGGCCAATACAACGTGTTGGGTAATATATGTTTGCCACAAGATTGACGATGGTTCACTTTTTTTATAAATATACATCTCTACACTTTCATGTCCCTTTTTCTTTCTTTATTTTTTTAATTTACAGTTTTTTAGTTATATGTTCTCATGGCGTGTATAATCTTTGACAATGGGTAGAGCTAAAGCAAAGTTCCATTTCAGTTGCTAAGCTACTATACCCACAAGCCGCCAGTCAAATGAATTCCACGGAAGAGCAAACTGCCGGTATTATGGACAAGGTGGTGGCACCCTGATATTAAGATCTGGTGCAAGATACAAGTGGCATAAGTAAAAAAACTGGAAAAAAAAAACATGTGCTGGTTCAACTCTTGCTACCTCTTCCTTACCAGTTCTGCCTTGGAGTTCAGCTGGGTCACTCGTCACCCGATTCTTGATTTGGTATAATATAATTTGGTACAAGGTGCCAGGGTTTAGACCCATGATCCTGTAACTATCTTGGTTTTCAGACACTTGTTGTTGCTTTTTCAGTTGTTCTTCACCAAATGGAAAGTAAGTAAGAATATAGTAATCGATGTCCAGCAACAGGTCCCATGCAATGTTCAGTGAATCCTCTGTTGTGCTGACAAGGCGTAAGCTCTCTGCAGCCATCACTAGAAAGCAGAACAAATCACTGTTTGTAGAAAGTAATGCACACTTCAAATACCGATAAACTATACCAATGTGAATGGTATTAAACAATGCATAGAATTACAGTGTATCTCATATGTGTAATCAGTTTGAAGGAATCATGTATATGCAATACCTTATACAATATGCAATACATTAAAGGAACAATATAGGCACCAAAACAACTTTAGCTTTATGAAGCAGTGTTGGTGTATAGATCATGGCCCTACAATTTCACTGCTCAGTTTTCTGACATTTATGAGTTAAATCATTTTGTTTATACAGCACTAGTCACACCTCCTTGCATGTGACTCACACAGCCTGCCAAACACTTCCTGCAAAGGGTGAGCTAAAGTTTGAATTCCTGCATATTCTGTTTAATTAAGAATGTATTATCTCTGCTCTAATAGACTTCTAGACCATGCAAGAGCCTCGTGTGTGATTAAAGTTCAATATAGAGCAGAAGATATAAACTTCTAAAACAAGTTAACATCTGATTGAGAATTAGACGAGTTGCGATTTTGTTGAACCTGAATGCTCAAGTCTTTGCTGCATATATAGGAGTGTTGGTGATGTATTCTACACAATGTCATAAGGACTCAGGGTTAAGGTAAGGTACGTTTAGGTCTAGGGGTGCTCAGGTGAAACCTGACTTTTTTTTAAAGTCAACATTTTAAGTTAATATTTTTGAAGTGAATCTACAGTTTCCCATAGAAGTCACTGTTGACCACTAAAGGTTGTAGAGAAGGATGATGGTAAGGCATAGGAAACTAAATCCCATCCATATATCTATTTTGCAGAGAACAGGAGGTGGAACTTGGCATTTTCAATACATTGTTTCATTGTTTCTGCCATAGTGTCTGAAGTTATTATTGTTAATTTTGCAGTTGCATTTCCTTTCATGCATTATAATATATTTTCCAGCATGCATATAACATATTTTTGAATGGATGCCCATTGAGTATCTTTGTCATTTTTTTAAATAATGTTTGCAGACAGACATTTGATTTTTTTTTTAAAAAACATTTCTATATGTCGTACTGTATTTAAAAATAATATTTATGTACTTTGTGGAACTGGTGGAGAGGTCCATTTCAGAAGTTCGTCCTGAGCCTGACTAACAATGAAGATGTCCCTCGGGCCCCAGCTCTTTGGGACCTTGTCTATCTGCTTAGGTTACCCATAGGTGACTTGTTGCCTGCTTAGGTGACAACAATGCTACACAAAGAGAAATTACACTAATATAAAAGTAAATACGAAAGCATGATTACACATTATGTATCTTGATGTTATCATGCTACTCACATTCAGAACAAGCTTCGCCATAAAATCCTTCTTCGCAGAAGCACTGACCACCATCACAGCGCCCATTTTCTCCACAGCTGACGACACAGTCAACTTCTCTACAAGATGGACCAGTGTATCCTACTGCACACTGGCAAAAGCCCCCAACGCATTTTCCGTTCTCTCCACAGTCAAGTGGGCATACTTCCTCACTGCAGTCTGGGCCAGTAAAGCCGCTGGCACATTGACAAACTCCATCAACACATACCCCATTGTTGGCACAGCCATTTGGACAACTCCTCTCGGAACAGTCAGGCCCTTCCCAGCCATCATCACACTCACAGGTTCCGGTGGCTATTATATATCTACCATTTCCGCTACAGAGACCAGCAATGTCTGAAATATGAGCACAAAAAAGAAGAAAGTTGTTAATGCTATATATTTTTCAAATAAACAATGTTAAATAAAGATAGATCTTAATCAATAGCCCTCTATAATAAAAAAATGTTCATAAACCTGTCACCGATATAAAATATTTATACTTAAAATAAGTTTATAAATTCCTACTCGGTAAAACTTAGGTTTAAATCAATAACCCCTTATGTCCTGGTTTTTGTAACACCCAAATCTGAACACAGCCTCATACATGACATAGCTACAAAACTGGCCATTAAGAAGTATAAAAGAAAGAAAATAATTTCATAATTTTTCAGAATGTTGGTATATGTAGGCAAGCTTCATACAGTGGTGAAATGACACTATACTTTATCTATATAGGTATATCATTTGTCTTGTTTCTCACCTATGGAACAGCTGTCTCCAATGAAGCCCTCATTACAAACACAGGTTCCACCGACACAGCGCCCATTGGGACGGCAGTCAACGGCACATTTCTTCTCCTTGCAGGCAGTGCCGGTATATCCCTCGGAACACTGGCAGACTCCATCTACGCATCTCCCATGCTCTCCACAGTCAACAGGGCATTTTTTCTTTCTGCATACTGGACCAGTATAGCCTTCTGAGCACTTGCATGTGCCATCAATGCATTTTCCAAACCTACCACAGTCAGGGATGCATAATTTCTCTCTGCAGTTTACGCCGGTGTATCCCTTTGCACATACGCAGATACCATCAACACATTTTCCAAACCTACCACAGTCAGGGATGCATAATTTTTCACTGCAGCTTACGCCGGTGTATCCCTTTTCACATACGCAGATACCATCTACGCATGTTCCAAACTCACAGTCAGGGATGCATAATTTCTCACTGCAGCTTACGCCGGTGTATCCCTTTTCACATACGCAGATACCATCTACGCATGTTCCAAACTCACAGTCAGGGATGCATAATTTCTCTGTGCAGCTTACGCCGGTGTATCCCTTTTCACATACGCAGATACCATCAACACATGTTCCAAACTCACAGTCAGGGATGCATAATTTCTCTGTGCAGCTTACGCCGGTGTATCCCTTTTCACATACGCAGATACCATTGACGCATGTTCCAAATTTACAGTCAGGGATGCATAGCTTTTCACTGCAATCAGTGCCCGTGTAACCCTCTGAACACTGGCAAACACCATCAACGCATTTGCCATTCCCACCACAGTTGTCGGGGCAGCTTTTCGTAGAGCAGTCTGGTCCTTCCCATCCATCATCGCACTGGCAGCCTCCTAATCTGGGCACAAACTTCCCACGCCCATTACAGTTTTTGTGAAAACCTGACTTCAATTTAGGAGGCCCTAAAATTAGAAAGAGAGAAGAAAATATCTAATTTAAAAAAAAAAGAGGAAAAAATATATAACTCAGAGTCACATTAATAGAATGCTAGGCTGGTTATTATTACAAAATGACAGTGGGTGTTGGATCTTAAATTATCAAATGAGGATTACAAAATAAATACGTTTTGACACACAAAGCATTAAAACAATTTCCATTGCTACATGTATCAGTGAGCATCAAGTTTTGCTTGAAGTTATTTACTAAACTCGGAGCTGTAAAAATTGACAAAGGAAATGCAAAATTTTAGGTCAGAATAGAAAAAAATAGAAAAATGTGCAAAGCAGCTCATTCCAGTTTGGCTTTTTTGGCCTCAAATTCACAAATACCCGTGTCAATTCTACACCATTCCCAGTTTAGTGACTTACTCTAAACCTGTGTAGTCTGGGTAAATCACATCTCTGTATGTTGCTTAATAATTCCTCGTCTCTCAATAGCAATAAAGTGCAGAGGAATTCCATGAGACATCAGTTTGATGCTCTCTGTGTCAGAAGGGTGAGTTTAATGTCTACTTTTTTGACTAACAAATTATTTACGAGGCTCAGCTAGTTGTATATATTTACTGTCATTTCTAAACATTCACATTGGAGTTACTGCTCTTTTTACTGCTCCACATGTCTTAAAGTAACTTTATTAATATATTAATCAAACAAATGCTAAATTTGGTTTTACCATTTAACACATGTGATCTATAATCAAGGAAATGTGCAAGTCACATGTCCATTACTCTTATGGCACTGGAAAAATAATGTATTGAAGTAAAATTCTGAATAACTGTACAACTTCACTATTGTGAGACGAGGGTTGGAAGTCCCAATTCCTGCTTTGTTAAAGTGGTCTTCGGGTGGACCTGATACTTCCGAAGCCAAATAAGTGACTGTCTTATTCTAGGTAACTATTTTGTTGGGGGTAAGAGTTCTGTTTTAACTCTCAGCAGTAAGCACAGATAAAGAGGTCACTGGTGAAAAGTGTAGCGTAGTAAAGTTAAACAAAACATTTATTCCATTTGCACAAACCAGTAAGGATCCATCTTGGATTATCTTCCACTGATACACTATGTGTACTTGCACATTCACACGGGGGATCATGGGACATTTCCATATTAAAAAACAAATAGTTATTGTTTAATAACATTACTAACAGGTTTTAGTAGCATCAGAATCTGAACATGCTGCATGGCATTCCAACGAAAAGCAACATGGTGGACAGAAGTGCTGTCACATCACCAGATCCTACTTAACGCTGTTCATTAAACCCTCACCTGTTCCTGTGGTATCCTCCAACTTTTTAACCCAAAATTTTTAACGGATACATCCTCCCTATCCTTGTCATAAATCACCTGTGTCTTTTTTCAACTAAAGGCAGTTAAGGACTAGTTTAGCATCACGGCTTTATCACACAGTGTGTAGCAAGACACCACCAAGTGGTTTATTTGGTTATAACAGTGTAAAGGCTTTGTCTAATTCTCCTTTCGATATGCTTGGGAACCCATTACCTAGAAAGGTGAGTGTTTTTTTGCTATATACACACTGACAATCCTCTTGCAGAGACTCAGTGACATTGTATATTTCTAAACAAGCTGAATATTCATATATAGCTGACAAACTGCACATGACCGAATATAGATTGCAACAGCAAGTTTCCTTAATCAACTAAACAATTTAAATTCATACAAACTATAAATTAAAATCTCTGTCTATCTGTCTGTCTGTCAGTCTGTCTATCTTTCTATTGTTATATCATTTATTTATCTCTTATCGTCTTCGGTCTTGATATAGCTTATAGAGGCACATGCAAGACACAACTAAAATTATAAATCTTTTTCTCTGTATTTAGCATATCAGCTATTGCTCTCAATTAGTTTAACTCTGCAAAAATATTTTGATAAATGCAAAGAAGAAAATAACAATAATTTACTATTATCACTGTTATTATTGAGAATCCAATTTGAATTCCAAGTGAATTTAAAATTTAGGTTCAAAATAATTGACATGGAAAAATTCTCTAATTCAGCTATGTGTTCAGCTACTCTGGCCTTACATCTGGAATTCAGTTCAACCATCCTCCTATCCCTCATATCACACAAAATGCTCCCCCATACTGCCAGTCACTCCATGTAGCATAGCCTCATGGAAGGCGGTAGAGGATGTTATTAATTCTCTGACCAGTATTACAGAACTCTCACACAATCCGCAAGGCCACGCTACAAAAGGGAAGTAAGCTGGGGAGAGGGTGGTAAAAGACCACAAAGGGACTGGGGGGGGGTGGGAAGGGACACCAAGGGGCTGGGGAGAGAAAGAGAGACACAGAGAGGATGGGGGAGTAAAAGACACACAAGAGGGTTTATAAGAGACACACAAAAGGATGAATAAAATACACTAAAGTGGGTGTTAGACATACACAAGGGCAAAAGGGGGGATAACATATGCTAAATGGGTACTAAGTCACAAAAGAGGGATAAAAACACAAGAGGGGTAAGATATTCAAAAGGGAGGTTAAGAGACACACAGGTGAAGACGCATATATAAGAGAGTGGGAAAATGCATCATTGCCTATGTAGCCAGAAATCCTTGCACCATCCCTGCATCCATCCCTCTGTCTGATTACCTAATCACTCACACCCACCCCATCCACTCCTCTCTCCCCATCTTCCCTCACTCCTATTATGCTCCTATCAATCCTATCCATACCCCAGTCTTTCCACATCCTCCAATCATTCCAGCGCATTCCTCTCTTCTCATTCTCCTATCAGAATTAAATATTCCTTCTTCTCTGCAACGTCCTATCATTCTCAAAAGACATCCCTCAGTTCTACCCACAAATAGCCACACACATCCCTTATAATTACCCACACACAGCCACACACATCACTACCCACACATCTCTCACATATACCCTCACAGCACTCATAGCTACCCACACAGCCACACACATCACTCACAGCTACCCACACATCTCTCACATCTACACACATAGCACTCACAGCTACCCACACATATCTCACATATACCCACACAGCACTCCTAGTTACCCACACAGCCACACACATCACTCACAGCTACCCACACATCTCTCACATCTACACACACATCACTAATAGTTACCCACACAGCCACACACATCACTCACAGCTACCCACACATATATCATATATACCCACACAGCACTCCTAGTTACCCACACAGCCACACACATCACTCACAGCTACCCACACATCTCTCACATATACCCACACAACACTCCTAGTTATCCACACAGCCACCCACATCACTCACAGCTACCCACACATCTCTCACATATACCCGCACAGCACTAATAGTTACCCACACAGCCACACACATCACTCACAGCTACCCACACATCTCTCACATATACCCACACAGCACTAATAGTTACCCACACAGCCACACACATCACTCACAGCTACCCACACATCTCTCACATATACCCACACAGCACTCATAGCTACCCGCACATCACTCACAGCTACCCACGTAGCCACATACATCACTCACAGCTACACACACAGCCACACATAGCTACCAACATGTCCAACATGGCTAAACACACATATTATACAAAACACACAGCACTCATAGCTACCCACACATCACTCACAGCTACCCACACAGCCGCATACATCACTCACAGCTACCCACACAGCCACACATAGCTACCAACATGTCCAACATGGCTAAACACACATATTATACAAAACAAGTTTAACCCATGAAGGTAAGAATGTCTCTTCAGTTGTTATTTGGCTTAACTTTAGCAATTCCTTAAAGGGAAACTTTGTTTGAATTTTTTCTAACAATTTGCAAATTTTTTCCTAAGCCTATAAGCCTTAAAATCCCACTAATAAAGATGTAACTTTATTATTAAATTGTTAGTGCGATGCCAGATTTACACAACCTTTGGCCCTCCAGATGTCGTGGACCACATCTCCCCTGATGCTTTGTCAGCATTATAGCTTTAAGAGCATTATGGGAGATGTAGTCTATAACATCTAGAGTACCAAAGACTACCTATCCTTGTGCTAGGCATTATTCAGGCAAATGGTTCTCATAGAGATGGGTGATTTTATCGAGATTTAGGTCCTTGCACTATAACCATTTCAAGAAGACGAAGTAGTTATGTTCATGGAATGGCTTTTTAAATACTATGAAATACACTCGCACCATCATTTCCTGTACAGAGAAAACATGCCTGCAACAACAAAAGAGTTTGAAAAAACTATGCGTTCAATGCATATTTTTGCTAGTAGAGTGTTAATGGAAAGATATAGTCACCCATTCAGGCAAAACAAATCAATTGATGAAATCTGGCTAACATGGGAATTACTGTCCATCTTCAAAGAAAAAACTCATATCACACTGTCAGATTTATTTTTCTTGTTAGAACATGCTACTATTTTATTTGAAACATCATCAATACTACAAAAACACAAATAAAGAAAAAAAACCGGCAAGAAGTGTTATTCATTAGTGGTCAAAGATCTCTTTTTCTAAGCGGTTCTATGCTGAAACAGCTGAGAGGAGAATCTATTTGGCAACTTAAACCTGTGGTTTGTCTAGGAACAAAACGCACTTAATAAGAACTGAAGGACACCAGGATTCTATTGGCATTTTTGTAATCCTGGAGAATCTTTAGGAAAAACGCTAACAATAAAGTATTATATTTGGTTGCAAATCACAAAGTTCCAAAATGTTAGACACAAAAGACTGATCATGATTCAGGTTTTAAATGTGTCTAATATTTTATTTATTTATTTATTTATTTATTTATTTATTTATTTTATAAAGGTCATAACAAAAATAAAAGAATGAAATTAGGATTTATGAAGAGAAAATGTTGGTAATGATATTTAGGTATTATGTAACTAACACCCTATGAGCCTTGCTCTGCAGGGGCGGGGACAAATTCTATTGGCCGCTGTTTATTGTGACTAAAGGTGACTGAAGAGTTAGAATTACATTGCAGGCATTTCTAAGCAGAAATGTGTTTGTCACAGTCTCAGTTAGTACCATATGTGTTCTGACAAAGCACATAACTTTTATTTTAATGGGAATTTTAAGATCATTCGTGGACAAGCTATATATTCATTTTGATAAAACATGTCTGTTTCTACAGAAGAAACACACAAAAAGCACATTGGATCATGATAGGCTCAATTTACTATTACACATAGAGCAACACTACGTAAACCACCAAGTAAGTGTATCTTTTAAGTAGCACTCATGAGATGTCAAGTATAGAAGACAAGTCTTTCGGGTAATAAAACAGCAATCCAAGTATCTTATTGCAAGTGCAATTTTTATTAAAATACTTGTGGTTTTATAGGAGAGAAAGACACAACATACTTATTATGTCACCTGGTATATAGTTTGGGAGAGAGAAAGGGTGTATGTATTGAATGTATAAGACAGGGAACATGTCACAGTGTTAGAGAGACCGAAGCAGGAAGAATATTTGCATAGTGCGCAAAGTCAGCTTTACCTTAACTAATTCCATTGTCACCCAGTCCACACATATTTTGTTCCCCTACATCCCTTTTAAGTTTCCATACTTAAGCAAGAGCATGTGAAGAGTAATAAAAATTTTTTAGCAAAAGCTCCATCAGGCCCTATGTTAATCCGGCCCTGACCAGGACATAGGTAATGTAGTAATTATGGAGTCGGTGTGTCCGTTTAAGCATCTTACAGGTATGTGGGTGTTTCCTGACTTTTGACTCACCCTACATAATGCCATTAATGTAAAGAAAGCAAAAAAACAATGTTACCTCCATGCTCTTCAGACCCACAGCATCCTTGGACTTCTTCTTTCATTGAACTCATTCCTGTTTCTAGAGCTGCCAGCCTGGCCATAAGGTCACTAATTAGTGAATCCTTCTCGCAGTCCGATGCAGGGCTCTTAAGACTGATTTGATGTCGGAAAACAAGATTCTGATCATCTGATTCAATGGGTGGTAGTGGTGTAGACCCATCCCCGGGGACACTGTACACATGGGTGATGGTTAGAGCCTTTTCGCTGCTACATGTATTTGCTTCACTGCTTCTGATGACAACAGCGGAAATTATGAGGTGACAGGTAGAAAAGAGGAGGAACTTCACAAAAAGTCCCCAAAAATACATAATGCCAATTCAGTGTATATTCCAGAAGCCCCTGTTGCAATACAAGAAAAACAAATGAAATGGTATTAATGGGAGGTAGCCAATCACTATATGAACATTAGTTACAGTTTCTTTGTTACAGTTTTCACACTAACGATATGATGATTCTAGGGTTCTCGCCAGGGAATTGTTACAGTCAATGTTCTTTATCTGAAAACTCAATTCAAGTTTCTACTCAACAGTACAACATGCTAACTTTCATCTTGTATTACAAAGAAATACTTATTAAGAAATTATTTTTTTTTAGTACAAAACAACATAAAAAGGCATGTAACAAAATGTGTCCACTGATATTTGTGCAAATACACAATACATAAAATACAATAGACTTTCATGCTTATTACTTGAGTCATTTATGTGTCTATTCTGTTCAGAATTTATATTGCAAACTAGTATCTGACTGGGACATCAAATTAGTTAACAAACCTACGTGTAGACATAGACACTACATACAAAAAGGAACAAACACAAATACGCACTTGCTTATCCCTTAATTGCAGGGAGAGAGAGTAAAATATGAATAGTCAAAAATTCCCTATTTAACTATTATATTAAAACTGCACTTTTACATTTACTGTTACTGATCCAGTCCAGGGATACCAAGTTGTATTATTTATTTATTAAACATTTCTATGATTCAGTTCCATAAAATGATCAGACTTTTTATTCAAATATTCTACTGCAAAACCTCCTAGTAATGTGGAAAAAAAATAGATTTTGCTACCTAATTCCCAACATATATTCCATAAAGATTTTTTTTTTTTTTTTACTGAGATTATGTATACTAAACATTTGTTCCATTTTGTTCTGAAATTTAACTTGGTTTATTACCTGTCACCAAGGAATGATATTTCACAAATTAAATTTAAAGGAACACTCCAGGCACCATAGCAATATCATTGAAACTAAATTGATATGATGACAGGAGCTTCCTAGCCCAGCTTATATTTTTGGGTTAAATCAAACTTTTTAGGTTTAGGGCAACCTTAATATTTCAGTCTTTTTCCAAGGTGCCCCATGTCAAAACAAAATTCTAGGTTGTATAAATGTACAGTGCTGCGGCATATACTGGACCCCTGTTTAGCAGAAATATTTTGCGGTCAGGGGTACATCCAGAACCTAATTGTGAGAGGGGCACAGATAGATTCTTTAAAGAATTAATCCAGGCACAATAACCACTGCAGCACTCTGTAGTGGTTATGGTGCCAGGAGTGCTGTGGTGCCCTCCCAGGGCAAGTAGTCAAACTGTTTCCATTTCTGCAAACTGTATCCCTTACTACAGAGAGAAAACTTTGGGATTAAACCGTTTGTGAGCTGATTAACCCCTAAAGGTAAGATGGCACCTTGGACCTCATGGCACCATAACAACTAATCATTTTGAGTTTTTTTATGAATGCCTGGAGATTCCCATTAACTCAAAATGTTTCACTTACCTTACCATTGGCTCTACAAGTATATCTTTTATTGGCCAAGATTAAATTTTGTCATCTGCGTTTTTGGAGGTTGATCATTATTGCTTCATTCTCGCAGCATGGAGGGGCTGCATGAGGGAAGATCCTGATCACAATTTACCAAAATACACCACTCTTGGCTAGTCAAGGAGATCATCTCAACTGGCCCGTGACCCGTGATAATCGCAAGTCACTGGCAAAACTATTGATTTAGCCAATGACAATTTGACTTAAAAAAACTGCATCCACCAGAAAGACCAGCTTCAAAAGTAACTTGTAGCTAGTTATGGAGATTCCCTCACCTTATCAGCCAGCCCATGACCATGGCAGCTGACCGGTATTCTGATATACCAGTTTGCCGTATGGCTAGTCCAAGCCGGTGGGCAAGGTTATAGAATGTATTATGCTTTTTCATGGATAGAGCTAGTGACAGCTGCACTTGCAAGAGTCTGCAACACAAGGAAGGCTATTCATTAAAAGTGTAATTAAGGAGACCTGAGAAGGCAATTGTAAATTTAGGCAAAACAGCCAATATCACCGGCAGAATTACCGTCGGTACAGCAGGCTTGCATGCTATTTAGTACCGTCAGGTGTCCTTCACACTTAGTAACACTTAATGGGCATCTCTGATCAGGGATTGGTGGATGCTGCGGGCTGCGGCCCTTTAACAGCATGACAGGGCCCCTTTGTATCTGTGTCAGTATGTGTATGTGTCTGTATGTATATGTATTTGTGCCAATATGTGTGTGTGTCTGTGTATGTCAGTGTATATGTGCATCTGTTCCAGTATGTCAATGTGTATGTATATTTTTTCTAGTATGTGTGTGTATCTGTGTGTGTGTCAGTGTATATGTGTATCTGTTCCAGTATGTGTGTGTATTTGTGTGTGTGTCAGCGTACATATGTATCTGTGTCAGAATGTGTGTGCGTATTTAGGTCAGTATATGTGGGTATCTGTGTGTAAGAAAGTGTGTATGTATATCTGTGTCAGTATGTGTATGCATCTGTGTTTGTGTGCGTGTGTATGTATATATATGTCAGTATATATGTGTATCTGTGTGTTGCAATGTGCATGCATGTCAGTGTGTGTGTGTGTGTGGCACCAACACAATATACAAATACACCCTTACTTTCAAACACCAACAATACACACAAATGTAGATCTACTTATCAACGCTAACACTACATACAAACACACCACTGCATACAAATGGCAACTGTACATACAAATACACTACTGATCACAAATACTGAACACTGCTCACAAATACAACCTTGCACGGTTGGGGAAATGGTAGATACCCAGCTGGCAAAGAATTGTGGGAATTGCACAAACGATACCTTTTGTTCATCATTGTGCTAGAGGGGGCTCCAAATAATTATTGCACTAGGGTTCTCTTTACATTAGTTCCACCACTGGCCAGTATATAAAAATTCTCACACTCAACTAGTTAAATAACTAAGCGATATTTAGCTAAACTTTTAAATATCGTGTTTGTCTTTTCACAATTTAGGTTTAGTGAATAACCACAATGGCTCTCTCATAGAAAGTCATGATAGAGACTGGCGGAGGTTACGGAGACTCCTTACAAGATGTGTTTTCATTAGCAGCAAGAGTTAACAGATACAAAAATAGTTTTGCAAATTGTGGTAAACAGAAGCTGCAAACTATAGAGAGACAGACACAAGTTGCATATTTTGTTATGATGTCTTGAGTACGTCTTATGACACCCACAAAGGTAAATAATAAATTGTCCAGTAGGATCAATGATCTTAAAAGATATGGAGCGCAATGCCCCGGGAATACCAGCATGCAGTGCAACTTAAGTTTCGGTGCACGTATTCCACATGAATTGCCTATTTTGCCCTCTGGTTTTCCCATCACCGAAGGTAAAATAGCCGCTTGTAGACTCGCATGATCTACTGCAGGACAGCATTATGAATTACCTGCAACTCCATGGGAGCCTATGAGCTCTGTACTTTTACAGATGTCTAACTTAATTTAAACCAGACAATACACGTATGAGCCACTTGGAGGTAGATACGTGAGAACCTTTTTTTTTTCCAAAATCAAGTTTTCCAGAGTCATCCTTTGCAAGAGACTCTCTAAGGACCTAACTTAACATAAATGTGATTGATATCCAATGGGATCGTAATAAACCTCATGGACTTTGAGGGAATAGACTTGAGTTTCTCTTTACTAATATCCTAATACATAATCCCCAGTGATCCATCTAAACTAAAAGGTTTAATGCTAAAGCAATTAAGTAAAATTTAGTTTCATATTTAAACCACAAACCAATTGCCTGTAGTCAAGAGCAATATAGGAACGCGTAGCTAAAATAAATGTCAGAGGAGAATGATACGGTAAAAAATGTCCCATAATTAGGATTTTTTTAAAAGATGCAAAAATAAATAAATGAAATAAATTCATTAATAAAAAAAATAAAAAATAAAAATACTTACTTTAGAAATTTTAAACCAGTTCATTCTATAGTGACCTCGAGTCCTGAGTGTTTCATTGCGATTTAAGAGATCTGATCTTACCCAATAAATCCATGCACAAAAGAGGTTTATGGAATAAGTAGTATACCTGAATGCCTAACTTGCTGATTAGAAATGTTGAGTAACCTATCAATTTACACATAATCATTTCACTGAATCTGAGCCAGGCTATGTTGAGCTCTTGGCAGGAATGCGCATGCATGATTCATGGTTTATCGAATGCAACCCATGTTATGCATGCAGACTAAAGATGTCGCTTGAAAAACTGATGTAGGCACGGTAGAATTCTAATTCCAGGCAGCCTAACTGACAGCTCAGACTGATAGCTGATTCCTGATTGACACGTCTTTACATCTCTAACCCACTCTTAAAATTGAGGTTGGCTGCAGGGTACACTATAGACCATCATCTCTGAAATAATGCAAACTGGTGATTTTATTTTAGAAACATTGATGGAGTTATTCACTACACCAGGGATTGGGAAGAAATGTATGGCATTATAGCTGAACTAGTAATATAGGTTTTTAATATTTTTTTTCTACTGATGAAAATTTGCAATACCCTTGAAAACTCTCCACACTTCACTGAAGGCAGAATAGGCTAGAATTAATTATAGAATTGCATATTTTAAGCCAAAACTCTCCACTGGAAAAACATAACATTTTCTGATTCACTATTTTTTGCCTTTCTTTTACAATATCCTACTCAGTTCCCAATAATTCCCAGTTTAGTAAATAGACCAGCCTGAGATTTTTGATACAGACAGAGAGAGTGAGAATCAGGACTGCAATTGGTGGAGCTTCTGCATAGTTAGATCCTCGTCTATGGCAGCTATTCACTAATAGTATGCTTAGAGAATCCATCAAGGGAAATGATCCCAATTCGTAATGACTCTCCTTTAACATAGTTTTTTTTCTAAACACTTTTTAAGGATCAGAAATAGACAATGCAGCCCAATTCTATGTCATACTTTCATAACCAAGGCAATTTAGTTTAAAAATATTAGCATTGTATGTATAACATGGGATGCTTAACTAGCACATACATGTGGAATAAGATTGCAATGGTCAAGAATCCACACCCGAAAATATTTAGTTTACACAATTATAGTTTTTCTAGAATGATATTCTAATTATATTGGCGGGTGTAAAATTTTAGAAATTACACCCTTATTTTGCATAGTTCAAAAATGCAGTTGGATTTAGGTAAACTGGCCAAACACCCACACAGCCGCAAAGTTTGACTTACACAGGTTGCTGTAAGAGGAAGCCATTTGCAGATAATAGAACCATAGAAAAAGCATATATTTCTTTGTGGCTTAAAATCCGCCCTGGGGTGATGGGAAAGTTAGGTGATCATTTCTGGGTTAAATTTTATACTGTATGACGCAGTAATACGTATCAAATTAATGCAATGCAATTTATGGCATCATCACAATCATAAAGAAGCCGTTAGCCACCAACCCTTGAACAACAGGCATAAAGTTCTGTTCTTGTTTTGAACTTTACAGTTTAGAATACTTTCTCCTAACAAAAAGGGGAAACAGAATGAAACTAAAAATATATTCCATTATTTTTTAACAAATCATTTCTTTTTACTAAAATCACTATCGTATTATTTTATCTATCTATCTATTTATATATTATAAATCATAATATTATTTATCAGGTACTTCTTGGCACATGTCAAAGAAGAGGTAGCTAAGTGATTGATACATACAAACATTTCCTATTATCATTAACCCCGAGGAGATACTATATCCTATTTGTTGTCTTCAGTATCAAATTGCTCCCCTATAGGGATTGTTCTCTTCACTTTTGGTGCTTTGAAGGGCACAAAGGTTAATTTCGCCTTTCTAAGTGGATGATATATTTGACACAAAGAAAATCAACTCCACGTGTAAATTCTAATTCATCATCATTATGATGGGACTAGGAAGAAGGTGATAACACAATGTTGAAGACTATTCTGATTCAAACTGACAGTCACAATGAATACTCTCGGGAAACATTCGTATTTCAAAGTTAGGAATAAAAGAAGCGTTATCAGGGAGACAGAGCAATGCTGGAATAAGCAGCCATGCTTAGAGGCCAATAAGATGTGTTCAGTGACATGCAGGCTAGACTTTCTGAGATAGTAAAAACACTAATTGGGGAGAGGGAATTTCACCCAAAATCGAGGTGATAGCATGACAGCCAATTTGCTAAATGTCAACATAAGCAAGATAAAACATTTTCACAATTCAGTTGACAACTCATCAGTCTCAACTGTGAACAAAAATGTATCCATACATAAATAGGGTTTGTTCACTAAATTCTGAACTGTAGTGAAATGAAAACCAAATAATGGCTATTTTAACTTAATTTTCCAATTACCTTTTAAGTTTATTACAAAACAATGTTTAGTAAATAACCAGTATCAATATGTGAAGTAACAAATAACTAAACAATTACATATATAAATTTTATTTATTTATTATTATTGGTTATTTTCTACTATGTGTGTGTGTGTGTGTGTTTATTTGTACATATATTTTTTTTATTTTGTGATTATTTGTTTTATTATTATTTCACTAATAACTACTGATCACATTATGAAATTATTAACATTGCAATTTATATTTAAAAAAAAAACACACACACACAAAGACCCTTGTTGGAAATCCCAGGATCCCAGGACTGTTCCTAGAAATTTGGAACACTTGGCATTTATCCCAGGAAGGATCACAATACATTGCATAATAATGTGCTCACAAGGCTAACAGTAACATAATGCACTCATGATGCTACAGGTAGGAAATTGGGTAACCCATACAATATGTGCAGTATATGCAAAATACAGTAAACAAAAAAAAAAAAAAAAAAAGATTGCTGATTGTGTACTAAATTTAAAAGGGTTCCGTTATTATGATCTGCCAGAATATCGCTCCTGCTTTTGACGCATTCAAACCTGTTGCAATATATAACAATTTATCACAGAGAGCTGACAAGGACCCAGATTGTGTTGACAGTGTAAAAATCTGGGTTATTCTTTTACATAATGAAGGCCAAGTGCTTTGTGGGAAAGCTGACGTATTAGTCAAACACAATTAATACACAGGTGAGTCTATAACTGTGATCAAATTCACCGGTGATGGTTAGCCTTGGGATCTCAGATGTCCATACATTTGACAAAGTATTTAGTGAACATAAAAGCTTTGCCAAAGGTTTCCTTCCTTGATATATGAAGATAGTTATTATCATTATCTGTAAGGTCACCAAGTCCAATATACGTTTCCCTCATTTGTTACCTCAACCATTTAATTTTATGACCTTACTAGTAAATAGTTCAATCCTAAACTTCAGTAGGAACTTCTAAGTAAGTGTAAAAACATATCTTTAATACAACGACACACAACCTGTAGTTTGCATAGCAGCAATAAATACACATCGTGGCTTACAATTATTTCTTCAGCTGTTTCAGCATTTTCCCACTTACAATAAAAGTGCTTAAAGAAAATTTTGGAGCTATACTTACTACTAAACACAGTAAAAAAAAATCCAGAAATACGCAACATCTGGCTAAGCACAATGAGAATTGTAGTCCACAGCAGCTGGAGTTCCAAATATTACCTATCCTGAATGTATATACATAAAAACATGCATGCAAATATTTCCGTATATATTACATATTCCATACTACAGGGATTTTCGACAATGCATTATTTTGTTTTAAACCCACTGATACCCAATAAAACAAGGCAAATTTGCACATTTGAGCACAAAATAGGAATATTTAGGGATCCTAAATTTTTCCTTTTTTTTTTACCGTGAGTCTTTAGCATTCAAACTGAAATTGGTCATGCACAATGGGACAGTCCTCACCTACCGCAGTCTGGAGGTTCTTCTGTACGTTTTAGGAGATGTGAGATGTTTATGAGTCTTTCAGCCCTATTATAAAGGACCAATCACCAATGCAGGGGTGTTACTTTCACCCTACATATGGAAAACTAAGTTTTTTGGACCTTAGTAATCCCTTCAAGCCACCCCCCTCCTCTGTCTGCATTTAATTCTTTCACTATGATAGCTTTCTTACAGCTGCACAGTTTAAGAACACCTCTGTCTGTATCCCATTCCAAGCTACTGGAAAAAACAAGTTGAAGAGTAATTGTAAACACAAAACATATTTTCCAAAGTCCACATAAACAGTTTGTATAATACACTCTATGTGACCTTGTGTGTATATATGTATATATATATAGTGACAATAATATAGCCCTGATGAATATCTTATATTTAGTTCCATGTGATTTTCACTTAAAGTGGGACTAAAATCTTAACTGCATTGAATCATTATTTCAATTTGGTTATCGTGGCCTGAAATTTACTTTGAATTGCCGATAGTTTATATATTAGTGGATAACCCTGTTGAAAGTGTCATTTGCTAAGTATGGCAAAGTAAAACGCACAATGAGTATCAAAATGATACCTCAGATTATCTTTATTTGGTGGGTTAATAGAAGTCTCGAATGTTTGTATGATAACTTATTTTCCTCACCATCACAGCAAAGAAACATTTATTTAGTATAAATGTTTGGGGCATTATCACTTTATGTAACCAAGATAATGAAATTAAAGCGATCGTTGAAAGCACCATAACCACTACAGCCTGATGTGACATGATGTCATGAGTGCCTCTGTGAGCTCCTATAGAAAGTAGTCAAATTCACTCACTCCCATGCTGTCGGAAGCTCCTGCCACTGAGATAAACTATGATGTGTTGGGTCGCCCTCATTGGCTGAGATCATTCAGCTTACGCTTTCAGCCAATGAGTGTGGCACTGCAAATTGGGACATACAGGAGCGTCAGGCAGCAAGGGAGATGGTAGCAGACTCCAAACGCGACCCAAATAAGTTGTTAGACTGTCAGTAAGCGGCAGTGGTTATGGTGCTTGGAGCCTTCCTTTAACTTTTTTATAAAATAACTTATATGTGTTATATACAGTACTCTGTGCATGAACTGTAAAAAAATTACTGTCCTAAATATATAAACCCTGGATAGGCAGAAAAGTGCATAAAATTGTATTGTAAACTCCAATCTGAGGCCTCCAGCTCATCAAGCTCCATACATTCGCAATGCCACTTCCTGGGGGTGGGGTTACAACGTCCAAACGTGATGACGCCTTTCGCCAACAGACAACTTCCTTACATCTGAGGAATGTGATATATTGGCAAAACACGTCATGCGCGTTATCATTAATGTTTTCATTATTTACTGTTAAAAGGAAATTAAAAAAAAAATAATAATAACAGTGTGAAAACTTAAACTACAGTAATCAAATGCATAAATCCCAACATCATAAAGCAGGACGTCGATGGGCGATTCCTGCCCAAAGGGGTCATCCTACCCCAAAAGTGGATATGATCGAAGAACTAGCAGGTAAGTCTGGAATATATGCACCCAGGCTGCCTGTCAATCAAGCAGGCCAGCCCACCAATGGAGGACCAGGCAGAGAGCACTGTTTCAGTACAAGTGCAGAGTCCTAGTGCCTTGAGCATAGTGCGACTTTGTTTACTGATGTGCTTGCGCTATGCTTCCTGGGAATTGTTTCCTAGTGTCTCCACAATATGGAGCTCCTAGAAAATAGGGATATTAGGGTAGAAGAGAGATACAGATTGATTTGGCCCAAAATATAAACAATTGGGAGGTATGAGGACATGAAAACAGGTGTGAAAATTTAGAATGGAAAATTATGTTCTGGGGAAAATGGAGTGGACCTGGTCCAAATCTGCAATTAAACAGTCAAAACGTAGGTGGAATTCCATACTGCAAGCCCAAATAAAGACCTTTGTTACAGCTGCCGTACTGGAGTAGTTCACAGGTGCAAGTAAAGGGAGATTCTAGTCATATCTGTACAGCATGGACCACCAGCAGAGGTCTTACCAAAGAACCAGGTGTTCTGAAGACGGCACTGAAATGAAACTTGCAAAGAGAGCCAGCACTTAGCCATATGTTGAAGTTCACAGCCAGGGTGGCAAAGGACGACTGCTTGCCTTGGCTGCTCTGGTTTGAACGACTTGGAATAAATGCACTTGATTTATTTTTGTTTCTTATATTTCTTCTGTTAAATAAACAAGACGAACAAGCTTTTGGGGTTTCAAAAGTTGACGGTCTATTCTCTTTGCAATCGAGAAATGAAAAATGTAAAAGAGTTTAAACAATATTTGTGTTTTTTTAATTTAGTTAGGGTTTTCTGTTTGGCAAAAGTGTTTTTAGCAATATTTCTCAAGGTTCTTCAGAAGGACGTGGAGAAGGTATCAAAAAGACAATTTGTTACGGATTTTATTCATACTTTTGAATGTCTTAATGTCCAAAGAGAGTTAAAGTTTTCTCCTTGTGGATTCCGTGTTAACCCTCCGATCTATCACCCTTCATTTGTTTTGCTTCTGATATTTCTGAATTAGCAGGTATCTCAATTCCTGACAGTTTTTGCACAAGTATGTTTTGAAGGACAGCTGCCCTTTTGCAGGCACATAGGACTCGATTTAGTTCATTTGAATCATAATCAAAAATTATTCCATTCTGTTAGAAAAAAAACATTTTTAAATGATCTATTTACAAAAATTTGAATAGGCTTTAATGGTGACTTCTGTCGATATATAATTTTAAAAGTAATTTTAGACAGATAACAGATTCAAATGATTTAACCCCTTAAGGACGGAGCCAAATGTACACGTTGTGAACAAAACAAAATGTAAACAAAACCTGGCATTTGCGCTACATGTCTGTCCAACCGTAATACACCTCTTTCATAGTAAATGTACCCACCCTTATTATATATCATTTTATTCAGGGGAAACAGGGCTTTCATTTAATATCAAATATTTAGCTATGAAACATAATTTAATATGAAAAAATGGGAGAAAATACGATTTTATTGGATTTTTTTAGTTCTACATGACAATTAAACGGTCAGTGTCATAATACTGTTTGCTTTTACTGCAATAAAATACACATATTTGTATTCAGCAAAGTCTCACGTGTAAAACAGTACCCCCTATGTACAGGTTTTATGGCGTTTTGGGAAGTTACAGGGTCAAATATAGCACGCTACATTTGAAATTGAAATTCGCCAGATTGGTTACGTTGCCTTTGAGACTGTATAGTAGCCCGGGAATGAAATTTACACCCATAATGGCATACCATTTGCAATAGTAGACAACCCAAGGTATTGCAAATGGGGTATGTCCAGTCTTTTTTAGTAGCCATTTGGTCACAAACACTGGCCAAAGTTAGCGTTAGTATCTGTTTGTGTGAAAAATGCAAAAAAACGCCAATTTTGGCCAGTGTTTGTGACTAAGTGGCTACTAAAAAAGACTGGACATACCCTGTTTGCAATACCTTGGGTTGTCTACTATTGCAAATGGTATGCCATCATAGGGGTAATTTTCATTCTTGGGCTACCATAGGGTCTCAAAGGCACGTAACCAATCTGGCGAATTTTAATGTGAAAAAATGAAACGCAAGACTTATATTTGACGCTGTAATTTTTGAAAACACCATAAAACCTGTACATAAGGGGTACCGTTATACTCGGGAGACTTCGCTGAACACAAATATTTGTGTTTCAAAACAGTAAAAAGTATCACAGCAATAATATCGTCCGTGTAAGTGCTGTTTGTGCATGAAAAAGGCAAAAAACGTCACTTTTACTGGCGATATCATCGTTGTAATACACTTTACTGTTTTGAAACACTAATATTTGTGTTCAGCGAAGTCTCCTGAGTAGAACAGTACCCCCCATGTACAGGTTTTATGGTGTCTCGGAAAGTTATAGGGTTAAATATAGTGCTAGCAAATTAAATTCCCTTTACTTTCGGCATGGGTTGTCATGCAGGTCCTGCTAATTGTAATTAATTAAGATACCTAATTATGTAAAAATATTGCATAAATATATTGGTGGAATCAATATATGTATATATATACGTATGTGTATATATATGTATATATCTATATAATTTTTTTAAAATATTTTTATTTATATATAGGTATATATATAGTGATATATACGTATATATTTATGTGTATAAATATATATATTATTTCGTTCTATGTGTTTTTTGATATATATATATATATTAATTTCACAATACAGTTAGAACGAAATAACACACATCTATATATTTTTTAATTATTTATTTTTAATTATTTTTGTAATTTTATTTTTTAACGTATTTACATTTGAATTTTTTTTATAATATATATAAATATATATATAACAATAATTATATATATATTTAATCAGTATCAGTGTATGTGTAATTTGATATTAATATATATATATAATTATATATATATTAATAGTAAAATACACCTAGACGGTGTACATGTGTGTATGTATATGTGTATATATATACTTTGATCATATATATATAATATATATATGATCTAAGTATATATTATTTATTTTTTTACACTATTTATTTATTTCATTTTTATTTTCAGCCAGCAGGGGGCCCACCTGTCATTACAGGCAGCCCCCCTGCTGGCAATACAGAAGCCAGCTATCCCCGGCCATGTGATTGTGGGGTCCTCGCTAGGACCCCACTCTCACACGGCCGGGGGGCTTCCTGGAGGACGGTCGTGCCGCGGGGGGCTCCCTGGGAGTCCCCCCCACCGCGATCGCCGGCGTGGGACCGGGTAAGTACAGAAAGACCGGAGGGCGTACTATTACGCCCGGCGGCGTTTAGAGCCGCCTATTAGAGGACGTAATAGTACGCCCTCCGGTCTTAAGGGGTTAAATCAAGGCCATAATTACTAATACTCTATTATTATTATTATTATTAATATTATTGCCATTTATATAGCGCCAACAGATTGCATAGCGCTTTACAATATTATTATAACAAAATGTTGGATATCATATATAGTTTACATCAGTGGTTCCCAAACCAGTCCTCATGGCCCACCAACAATTCAAGATTTATGGACTTCCCTGTTTTATGCCAATAGAGATATTGACAAAACCTGGACTGTGGGTTTGGGAAACACTGTTTTACATATTTCTTTAGTTAACTTTATCAAGAGAATATAGTCAATACGCTCTTAGAGGGACACTATAAGCACCCAGACCACTTCGTCTCAATAAAGTGGTTTGAGTGCCATGGTCATGCGTTTTAACCCTGAAACTGAAAACATTGCATCCTACAGTCCAGCAATGTTTTCATTGTAGGGTTTAAATGCCTCTAGTGGCTGTCACTCAGAGAACCACTTGGGATTCTTCCGCTGTGATCGCCTAGTAAAATTCTGCTACTTCTATTAGATGCTCTCAGAGATTGGCATCTGATTGGCGCAGCATGGCACAGCACACCCTAAAAATCAGCACCCCTTATTATTGCCATTTATATAGCACCAACAGATTCCGTAGCGCTTTACAATATTATGAGAGGGGGGATTGCACTATAAATAGGACAATTACAAGAAATCTTACAGGAACGATAGGTTGAAGAGGACCCTGCTCAAAGAAGCTTACAGTCTATAGGAGTTGGGGTATAAAACACATTAGGAAAGGAACTGTATTACTAAACTATTTGACCAGGAATGAATGCCAAAGTGAAAGCTACCAGCTTATCCAAGAAGATGTTTAATTCAAAAACATAACATTATGCATATCACAAATTAATTGGCCAAGTAAAAAATTTTCCATGTAGACAGATATAATTGTTACATTTTTTTGGAAAGGGTTGTGGTGGTCGCCTTTGCTTACCGGTCTCGCCACTTATGATGTTTTTTTTCCGTGTCAGAAGTCAACCATAAAATGTTTAAAGAAATCTCACCTTGCGGCGCATACATATAGCAAGTATACGGTGGATTGACAAAGCGAAGTCATTTAAAGAAACACTCCACACACCATAATCACTACAGCTTCTGCTTTGGAACTTCCGACTTTCTGGTGTTAGTAACATAGGTCAGCAAACCCCAGGTATTAAGTCAAACCATTCAAAATTGGCGCATTACAATTGGAACACCAGGGCACTCTTGGCACCATTACCACAGCACATAGATTATGGTTATAGTGCTTGGAGTGTTATTTTAAGTAGTTCCCTTAAGTAGAAAAGATAATGTTTATGTGCAGGGATTCCACATCAATTCAATTAATAAATAAAATACATACATATATTTACTATAGAAGTATATTCTATTCACCAAGCTGACAAATGTGGATAACTGACAAGGAAACTCCAAATCTTTGGCTAAAGTAACCAAACTGAAAAGATTCTCCAACGCAGCACTTTTACCAGCTTAGCCGTTTTAGTCTACAATTTGCTATCCTCTTGTTTATTCTGCTGTTTAGTGATAAACCTAAAAGACTTTGAAGATGGAACAGGGAATCCAGTAGTTGGAACAGACGTTTATTGTAAAAAGAAGATATTACTCTCAAACATGTGATGCCTATAAACGAAGACATTTATAGGGAACAGCTCTAAATAGCGCAAATACCAGTTTTTATATGAGTCTAGCTTCCCCGGGGAGTACAATTATCTCCCTCTGTTAACAAGTATCCAAGTACAGGTTCGATCTATACATACAGTTTGAGGTTCACTCACTAAACAAGGAAATGTGGAAACATTTTAATAAAAACAGATGATGTTGGTTATTTTAGCCTACACTTACTATTTCATTATTATTCTACAGAGTTTAGTAAATATACCCCTACTCCCGGCAGACACACAAAGGATTCCGGTCAGTCAGTATACTGATACTGATATCTCACATAGCATTCTATACTCATACTGATATCTGCATATTCATACTAATATCACACAAAGCATTCTATAAATTGATACTGATATCTCACATAACATTCTATATACTGATACTGATATCTCACATAGCATTCTATATACTGATACTGATATTGTACATAGCATTCTATACACTCATACTGGTATCTGCATATTCATACTAATATCACACAAAGCATTCTATAAATTGATACTAATATCTCACGTAGCATTCTATGTATAAGAATATAATACACTCATATTAATATAATACATTGTGACAGACCACTCTGTCTCTGGATTGTTAAACATTATTTTTCTTCACCTGTTGGGATTCACCGAATGGATTACACTTGTATTGTTCATATATCGAATAAATTCCCGAACTGGTAGACGACCCGTATACCACGTGTGCTGCTCGTTGACCCTTTTAACCTCTGTCAACACCGCATTAACCACAATAACCACAACATTCTAAAAGGTCGGATGGGGGCCGCCGTTAGTATGTGCGAACACGTGGCGGCAGCCATCTTGAGCCACGAACACATATAGCGGTGTTTGGTCGTCGAGTGTATGGAACTCAAAACGGACACTCGACCGCCCAAACACCGCTGAAACTTCCACCTCCAACTCCACCTACATTCAGCTATTTTCAACTGGAAAGCACATTGTTCGGTGGGAGCGCACTCTCGAACGAGAGACACAGACTTAGCATACTCACGAATGGTTATGTTCTGTATTTTGTTTTATTTCGTACTCCCGAAACAGACCGACCGCACATCCCAATTAATGGAACTATACTGGGCAGACGCCTCGTGTGCGGTCAATCTAAATTTTACACTGGTGGCATTTCGGCTGTGTTCGTGGGATCTGAATGCTTTCGGGATATGTTGGGTGCTCAGATCCAGGCTATCCGGGTATATAGGACTTTAGGGGGTACCTGTTTGTAAAATGTATGTTTTGGGGTGTAATAAATGTATATGCTCTGGACCTCAGAGATAATGTAATTTAGATGTGTATTTTACAGTAGTCTCATCTCAGGTCCAGTGGGGAATGCCCCTGTAATATGATTTGGGAAACCCCTTGCATGGGAAGTTATAAATCAGTTCCCAATAAATCAGTTCAGCCTTGTCTCATGCGTGGGAGAAAGCAATACCAGCTATATCACTAGATCTTTTAAGAGCTATACCTGCTTTTCGTTTTTTAATTACTGCTATACTACAAGCGCCTCTCACACTAGGGAAAAGAACATTTCTGGTGGCGAAACCCTCTTCCCTATCGGTGCGCACACATACATAGTATATGATATACCATATTGATATCACACATAGTATATGATATACTCATATTGATATCACACATAGTATATGATATACGTATTGATATAATACATAGTATATTATATACTCATATTGATATCACACATAGTATATAATGTACTCATATTGATATAATACATAGTATATTATATACTCATATTGATATCACACATAGTATATAATGTACTCATATTGATATAATACATAGTATATTATATACTCATATTGATATCACACATAGTATATAATGTACTCATATTGATATAATACATAGTATATTATATACTCATATTGATATCACACATAGTATATAATGTACTCATATTGATATAATACATAGTATATTATATACTCATATTGATATCACACATAGTATATAATGTACTCATATTGATATAATACATAGTATATTATATACTCATATTGATATCACACATAGTATATAATGTACTCATATTGATATAATACATAGTATATTATATACTCATATTGATATCACACATAGTATATGATATACTAATATTGATATAATACATAATATATGATATACTTATAGTGATATCACACATAGTATATGATATACACATATTGATATCGCACATAGTATATGATATACTCATATTGATATAATAAATAGTATATGATATACTCATATTGATATCGCAAATAGTATATGATATACTCATATTGATATAATAAATAGTATATGATGTACTCATATTGATATCACACATAGTATATGATATACTCATTTGGATATAATAAATAGTATATGATATACTCATATTGATATCACACATAGTATATGACATACACATATTGATATCACACATAGTATATGATATACTCATATTGATATCACACATAGTATATGATATACTCATATAGCATTCACATAGCATTCTTTACACTCATAGTGAAATCACACATAGTTTGCTGTACACTAATACTGATAGAGTCAGGAACACATTGAAGGCAGATGTCCAGTTCCTTTTTTGTTAGAACCATACACTGTATAGTATACACCATAATATAAACACTAAAATGCATAATAACATCACATGTGATGTACTATAAATTTAGATAGAATATTAAGGGAGAGTGTATCAGAATACGCTATAATAATTTGGGTGGTAACCCCTAATATGAACATTCAAATACCAGGAAACTGAAAAAAGGGAAAAAGTGATAACAAAACCCTTTATAAAAAAAGAGTTAGAAAACGTAACTTTTATTAATACAGATATGTTAAAGAGGTGAAACATATAAATACAAGCAAAAAAGTTCCTGCGTAAAGAGACTAGAGGATAGGGTCGTCCTAAACAAAACAAATTTAAACTAGAAAGAAGAATACATTCGACATATATAGTGAATTCAATGAATAAAAATCTGCCTGTCAGTTTTCTTCACACTGAAAAAGAAATCGTAAAGAATCAACTTGGTAGCACACATCACATTCCATATAGTAATAATGATAAGTCATATAGAATGGCATGAGCTCTTACTGGAAATGCTTACTGTGTCCAGTTATACTTCCACGCACAGATTGCAGAAATATATGGATTGGAAAGTCATTTGTAGTAGCTGATTCATAAAAGAGTACTCACTCAATCAGTGTCCCTCAATGATAATCAATACCAAACAGTTGTGAACAAAAGTTGAAATTAGGGACTCCCAAGTTGAAACCCCTAAGATGATTTGAAGCCAAAGACATGTTTTCACCCAATTAGGGCATTAAAATAAAAATATATATATAAAAAAAAAAAAAAAATATATATTTTTTTTAAATTCCATACCAATGAGGGTACATGTGCCACAACAGAATAAACAAAATGTTGGACATCATATATAGTTTACATCAGTGGTTCCCAAACCAGTCCTCATGGCCCACCAACAATTCAAGATTTATGGACTTCCCTGTTTTATGCCAATAGAGATATTGACAAAACCTGGACTGTGGGTTTGGGAAACACTGTTTTACATATTTCTTTAGTTAACTTTATCAAGAGAATATAGTCAATACGCTCTTAGAGGGACACTATAAACACCCAGACCACTTCGTCTCAATAAAGTGGTTTGAGTGCCATGGTCATGCGTTTTAACCCTGAAACTGAAAACATTGCATCCTACAGTCCAGCAATGTTTTCATTGTAGGGTTTAAATGCCTCTAGTTGCTGTCTCTCAGAGAACCACTTGGGATTCTTCCGCTGTGATCGCCTAGTAAAATTCTGCTACTTCTATTAGATGCTCTCAGAGATAGGCATCTGATTGGCGCAGCATGGCACAGCACACCCTAACAATCAGCACCCCTTATTATTGCCATTTATATAGCACCAACAGATTCCGTAGCGCTTTACAATATTATGAGAGGGGGGATTTAACTATAAATAGGACAATTACAAGAAATCTTACAGGAACGATAGGTTGAAGAGGACCCTGCTCAAACGAGCTTACTGTCTATAGGAGGTGGGGTATAAAACACAATAGGACAGGAAATAGCAATCAAATAAGGTGGGAGAGTAGCAGAGTTGGATGAGAGAGTAGAGTGCTGCCCTTTAGGAGAGAGCAAGAGACAGGTATGTGAGGTAGAGTTTACTCTGGGAAGCCATAAGCTTTCCTAAAGAGATGGGTTTTAAGTCATTTATTAAACGATTGAAGACTAGAGGAGAGTCTGATGGCAGTAGGCAGGCTATTCCATAGGAAGGGAGCTACCAGAGAGAAGTCCTGCAAGCATGAGTTGAACGTACGG